CACGTTTTTTCCTCTGGGCTTTGCAGCATAGACCCTGGGCTGCACGCTGAGGTCCACACATAGATGGTGACTCCTGGAAAGGCTTGATGGGTGCCACAGGGACTCCAGCTCCCTTGGCTTCGCTCTGCTTATTTCTTGGAAGGTCACCACATTTGCTGCTTGTACAGAGGGCTCTGCTGAGTGTTCCTGCCATTTCAGATGTGACTATAGGAAGAAAAGGAGCAGGGCTGCCAATGTAACTAGTGGGTAGAGTGCTTGCCTAGCATGCACCAGGCCCTGGGTTCAATCCCTAGCATCACAAAAAGAAAAAAAGGAAGAAATGAGTAAGTACTCAGGGTTGGAAGAGGGGAAGTAGGAGAGTGTAAGTGCTGTTGGTGGAATCTGTGTTTCCTGAAGAAAATCAGACCTCTCATTCTATCTGCTTGGACAATTTAGTACAATTCCTGCAGATACTCAGTTGATCCTTCCAGAGTGTTGGGGCAGCTCAGCTAATGGCTGAGGAAGCCCAGGCCCTTGCTCGTGGCCATACACCAGGGAGTAGCAAAGCTGGGACTTGAACTCTGGTCTGTTCCTCCTTCCCTTGTAGTACTAAGAGGTGTCAGATGGGTCAGTGCCATAGGCCTCCAGCAGCCCATCTCAATGCTGGCAGTGAGAGGCCAGCAAGTGTTTCCCTGCCCACGTGCAAATATCAGTGTGGAATGGATGGCTACTGAAGGGGTCTCTACAATGGACTTAGACAAACTCCCAAGGAAAAACCCCAAGTAGCTGGTGTGAGTCTGTGGCTTCATCCTGGATGGGTAGAGAAGGTGGTTTGTGCTGGGGAATCCTTGAGTGGTGGCGCCAACCCCAGTGTGGGTTGGAATCCTGCCTCCCCTCTTCTTAGGGACATACCTCCCACAGCCTCTTCAGAGCCACTTCCATCTGCTCTGAGACCCAGTGAGGTGACGAATGTGACACAGTGGACTCCAGAAGTGCTCCTCCCCTTCCTTCTCTGTTCACCCTTCAGATACGATTACCTCTTCAGGTTCCTTCCAAATCTATTGAACCACCATCTAGATGCTCTTTACAAGTCAAGAAAATCTACGGGTACTAAAAATCCTCTTCTGAGCTCTATCACTCGGGCTTAATGGCGAGGGCCCTGGGGATATGGAAACAGGGATTTCCAACCCTCTTGAACTCCTGGGCTTTTCTCAGGCAGCGTGGTTCCAGGGCTTCTGTGTAGACCATTAAATTCTCCATCCAGCCTTGTGTGGTCATATTTCCAGGGCTGATGTACTGTTAGAACAGATGGGCTTTGCCAGGATCATCTCACACATCTTGATTTATGGGAAGGGCTTTGCCAGATGGACTTGGATGACAAATTCAGATCAGAAGCCACCTTGCTAACACCGTTAGTGTGTTTGAGTTAAACGTCTTGCCATTTGAACTCAGAAGTGCATCTGTCTGTCTGCAGTGACTGGTTTAATGGTCTGTTGAGAGGGCTGGAGCCATTTACCTTGGCCTTTACTGACAGGTGGCCTGGTTATATTTAGCCAGGACACAGGTGAACATCCCAGACAGGTCCTGCTGCTACTGAATAGAGTCCTCAAAGCCGCACATAGGTTGCGATTTACTGAATGCCACATCGGGCTTTCATTGTCCCAGTATTCAAGTGACAGGGGGTCTTGTGGGATAAAGTATGTGTGATCAGCCCTTGGTGAGCTCCTGTAGCTGTGAAGAAAGTCAGGTCATTTTGAGCTAGTTGGATACAAGACAGGTTTTATCATCTCTCGTTTTAGGATTGTGACTGGGTTTCTTATACCTCTGATGTGAGCCATCAAAACCCACTCTGAAAACCCCTGAGGGGTCAAGGAGCTTTAAAATGAAGCCATTTTCTAATTTTTTCTTAGCTTGGTGAGCCCCAGGCATTTCACAGACCTACATGCTGATAGGTCCTGCTTTGGGCAGAAAGGGTGGAACCCAGCCCCACAGTGGACAAGGGACATCCACTCGTTGTGCAGCCCTAGGGTAGAGCTGTCTGCTGCCCAGAGGGACAGCTGGCCTGAGGATCTAGCCATGATCTGCCTGTGATAACCCCAGCCACAGACATTTGGCCACTTTGCCTCTTGGACTAGCCCATAAAACCTGAAATTGCTTGAGATTTTGCAGAACTCAAAATAGCTATTTTCAGAGGGTTTGTAGATGATTTGAGATCATCAGGGCCTCTTCCTGGGTAGGAGCTGATGCAGAAAACTTCAGTACTGAATATTTAATGGATACACTAGGAGTTTTTATAAAACATGGATGCTCTGAGACTCCTGTTAATGAGTCTTGGGTGAGATCTGGGAGTTGACTTCTTGAAAGCTTCTCTGATGATAGGCATACACAGCCGGCGTTGAGAACCTCTGCCAAAGAAGCCACATGGATTGGACTTGGGTGGAGATTAGAGTTTGACAGGGGAGAGGAAAGGTGGGTGTCAGTGTGGTCTATTCAGCATTAACGGTAAGGAGATTTGAGAAAGGAAGGAAGGAAAGGGGACAAACTCCTCTGAGCTGTGAGCCACGGGGCTGCTGAGACAGTCTGGTTGCAGGGAGAACTTTCTTTACATGGTAATGGTGAATTCATTTAAGCACAGATTTAGTCATAGCCATTAGCATGATACATAGCTGGAGAGTAAATATGCTTTCCTTTTTTTTTTTTTTAGTATAGGGGATCGAACTCTGGGGTACTTAATCACTGAGCCACATCCACAGCCCTTTTTATTTTTGTTTTTAAAATTTTGAGACAGGGTGTCACTAAGGTGCTTAGAGCCTTGCTAAGTTGCTGAGGCTGGCTATGAACTTGCCATCCTCCTGCCTCAGCCTCCTGAGTCACTGGGATTACGTGTCTGCACCACCGTGCCTGGCAAGTAAATATGCTTATATCCAATCTGTCTTCTCAGAGCAAAGGGTGGGGTTCTCAACCTGCTTGAGTATAGCAGTGATATCTAATACTCATGAGGCAAACACATTGTCAAAAACTGCCAGGTGGGCAAAAGATAAGTGAATATAGAAGTGACAAACCAGCCCATCCCCTGCAAATAATCATCTCATTAAATTAGAGAAAGAGAAGTAAATGACATTCACAGCCCCACTATCCAAAAACAACCCCTATCCTTCTGGATATATCTTGACAGAAAATAATAATTTCACATAAATTGAACCAACCTGATTTTCTCCCTCATCTAACATTGTGCTATGGCTCTCTTGCCACCTATCAATAAATATAGGCCTACGTCATTTTTAAATAGTATTTCATTACATGGATGAGCCATTTTTTAATCCGCCTTTGTTGATGGACATTTAGGTCATTTCCAATTCAGAGCTTTTAACAATGAGATAAAGCGTCCTTTACGTGAGCCTTTGCGATATGCATCCTGCTGCGGTGATCTGCTTCTTTTATTACACGCTTGCCTAGCCGGGAGTGGAGATGACAAAAGCCCACGTTCTGCCGCGCGCTGCTCTCAGGCTTATTGTATTATAATTCATCTGTTATTTGCTTTTGTGTTTCCTCGCCCCTCCTCCCCCGGAGTCATAAGGGGCTCTGTGGTTAGGGGTAGAGTACCCTGGACTCATTTAGCCCCGCCCTTTCTCATTATTAGAATATACAGAGCTTAGATTGCTTCTGAAAGTCCCTGGCTGTCAGCAGAATGGCCTCTGGTTCTGAAGAGCTGGCGAGAAACCCACTCCGGCTGTGTCACCCCAACTGATTTTGCAGTGAGGTTCCAATGTGTGTTGAATCTGCTTAAAAGTGATGGGTTACATCCCTAGCTTGCCTCACTTAAAAAATAAATCATACTTAACCTGTATTTATTTCTCAGTCTAATAGGAAGTACACAAATGATGGGGTGCAGGGTCCTTGGCCTCCAGGGGCTGTGTTCCAAGGGGCTCACAGTACAGATGGTCCCTGACTTGCGACGGGTCGCTGTCAGGAGGGTGTGAAAGCGATATGCCTCCAGTAGAAACTGTACCTCCACTTTCGGATGTTGAGCTTTCACGGGGCTAACGATACTCGATAACAGTCATCTCTCCAGGTCCCGGGCAGTGGCAGCAAGCCTCGGCTCCCAGGCAACCACACGATCACAAGAGTAAACAACCGATAGTCAGTCGAGAGCGTGCTGCGTTGCTAAGCTCTGATGTGCAGGAGGTTGGATTATTAAATGCAGTTTCAACCTACAGTGTTTTCAATTTACAATGAATCTATCCAGGCATTGCCCCATCGTAAGATGAGGAACATCTGTATAATGTTCCTAAATATAGCTTTCCTTGGGAGGCTGCTGAGCTTCCTCAGAACTGTTGTATCCTCCACTTTGCCATTATAGAGACACCTTTCTTTGAAGAAAATGTTTTTGCAATCTTTAGATGAGAATTGAAGTAGTTCTTCTGGTAAAAACGAGAAGTGGAAATTCTGTCATTGGCCCCAGCAAAATCATCTTAGGCAGATTCCTGCCTGTCTTTCCATCTGTGGTGTGGGTCGATCTCCTGGCCAGAGAATAAAGAGACTGTGAACTTTGGTTCTCGAATTTCAAAGTTTAGGGTGACAGAACTCCAAGGCTGAGGTATGAAGGGGGATTATCTGCATTGTAGCTTGTACTTTTCTCCAGATTAATGGAGACATGGAATTATTGGAGAAGATGATAATGTGAAACACTCAAGGAAAAGGCAGTCAGTTGGTGGTTCCTTGCATTCGAAGGGACTTTACAGATCAGTTAAGTAAGGGGTTCTAAGTGCTTCCAGGTACCTCTTTGAAAGGCTGATGAAACCTGTGAGCTTCCTTACTGAATAATGCCCTTGGGTGCACAAGTGCAAAGTTTTCAATTCCACATCAAACAGATTGTAGATCCCCACCAAAGAACTCATGGCCTGACCGAGCCCCTGGTTTGGGAGGGTAGAACTGCCAGGTTTGTAAAGGGGGGTAACTAGGAGAGCTTATAACCCTGTCGATGAACTGCTCCTAAATGAAAACCTTTTCTTTTCTTTCAGCACTGGCTGGATCATTCCAAACCCATAAAAAAGCAGATGAAAAGTAAGTAAACAGAATTTAGCCTTCTTGTGTATTCCTTTAATTTGTGGATAAAGTCCTTTGCCAAAGTTTTGAGGGTCTTAAGTATTCATTGTAACTGGGAAGCCTTTTTTAAATTTTTTTAAGAATGGATTTTAAATGTATGATTCTTAGTTTCTTAAAGCCGGCCAAAGATGAGAGCTTAACATTTGAATTTGAATTTTTAGTGAATGTTTAAAACCCAGCTATGTTCTCATTTGAAATCAGACACCTCTGCCAGTGAGAACTGATTAATGTGCTGTTCAGAAATGTGACGACGTTGCACCTGCTATATTCACTTCCTAATGAGTTATAAAGCAGGCTGGGCGAGTGGGCGGGCTCTTGGGGAGTGGGGTCCAGCTCACTGCTTTACAGGTGTGGTACCCATTTCTCTATGCTGTTTATGCTTGGGGCATTTAAAGAAATCTTTATTCTCTTAAAAATGCTGTAAGGTATTTCTTTATTTTCAGACAGCAGAACACTTTCCTTTAGCCCACTTTGTACTTTGTAGAAACATAGGCTATCAGTTTGGAGCCTCTCGGTATCAGAGGTAAAAGTAAAATGCCAACTCTTCGTGATTCATCTGGAGCCTTATGGTTTTCTGCCAGAATGAGGTTACCAGCTAACCTATCCTAGGCATCACGGAAGGCCATTTTGGTTTTCCAGACTGGGATTGAAAAGAATGTATTGGTATTGTGTGCCCAGTTGTGCCCTCCACGTAGAGTGGCGAAAGTGCTGTAGATTTAACGTGTTTTTCCTTTTTTCCATTCTGTGGGGAAAACATCTTCAACCCTCCGTCTCCAAATGTTTAGTTGGACCTGCTTATGCATTGCACTTTCGAGTTAAATACTATTCCTCAGAACCGAACAATCTTCGAGAAGAGTTTACAAGGTAGGACATAATGCAGAAGGTTCTGCCCCGTAACGCTGGCCTCACGTAGAATTTGTAGGTCTTCTAAGTCATGGGTGTGCCTCTCTTTCCATCCACTTTCTGTACTTCTGAGCATGGGTTATTAGCATTTTCCCCTGGGATTTCTGTATTCTGTTGAAAATCCACAACTTTGCTTCATTTGATATTTTTTTCGTTAATAGAAATTAGACTTATTTGTTTTCTCAGGCCACGGGTAAAGCAAATTGTTGTTCTATGGAATTTTATTTCTGTCTCAGTGACAAAAAGGGAGAGCAAATACTGGGATAATGCTTCTCAGTCCTTTTTGTTTTTAAGGGGCTGCAAAATAGTCCCTTGATGGTCACAGTGAAGGCTAATTCCCTTTAAAGCCTCCTGCCCTAATTATGGCAGAGTTCTTAGAATCCTTTCATGTCACCCTTCAGCCCCACTGAGTTCTTATGTATTGTGTCCGCCTGTGCATGTCTATCTCTTGGACTTCAGGAGCAGCGTAGAAGTCAAGAGAATGTACATAGTGAGGTGTTCCCCGCCAGCTACCCTTCCCTTGGTGAAATTCTCCACCAGCCTTCTGCTTTTGATATCCCAGAGTCTCCTTGTCCCTGTTTCTTGGGTGATGGATTATAGTGGTGACACATATGCAGCTGGGTGGTCCACGGTGATGGCCAGGAACATGGAGATGACTTCCTAAGTAGTGCTTTAAAGACTGACCAGTGGTCACCATTGCCCCACTGGATGGGCCAACTGAACTTGTGAAGTTAGGTTTTCCCAGGGGAATTGGAAGTTCTGGCCATGTCAGCGTGCGTGGTGTCTTCCCTTGATATGAGTATCCAGTTAGTGTCCAGAATTTCACAGGTGAAGTCAATGATGATCAAGCACCTGTTGGGAAGCAGGAACATCCTGGAATGTACTAGAACCTGCAGTCGTTCCTCCCCCACCACTTGATTTCTGGGTCACCCACATTGTCCTATATTCATTCCACAGAAAGTGACAGCCCGCATTGTTTCCAAGGTTCATACAAATTAAATTACTGGAGTTTTGTTCCTCCTCAGAGCTCTTTGTGAAACATGCTGCTTCTCGCTGTCACCAAAGCCAGTGGTTTTTAAGCCAGGCTGTGTGAATCAGAAACACCTGGGAGGCTTTTGAACAAATCAGATTCCTGGGGACCACTCTTGCATGTAGGATTCCTGACTCCATAGGTATGGAGTAGAGCGTGGGCAGCTTTGGTTTTTACAAAGCGCTGCAAGTGGTACTGATGCCCACATCCTCCTGGTAAAAAAAAAAACAAAACCTACTTAAGCCGTTGCATCTTTTTTTTTTTTTTTTTAACCTAAGTAAGCCTCACCTGTGTTATTGCTGCCTTCCTCCTAATTTTTTGTTCTCCCTATAACCCATTGCAGTCCAATTCCAGGATCTTTCTTGTGTGCGTGTGCTCACATATATGTGGGTGAGTGTATGTTTGTGTGCCTGGTTTTTTTTTTGTTTGTTTATTTTTGTTTTTAAGACGGTCTGCAGTTAGACTGCATCAGGAAGCAAAGCTCAGGCTGTTGATCACAGAATCCAGTCAGCTGCAAACTTGTTGATGTGATTCTGGACTCTGCCAGGTGGAGTTGGCCCAGGCCTAATCCAGTGGCTCCCCCTGCCTGTGTTAGTGGACACATCGCGTGCCTGTGTTCCAAGTTCCATGGGCCTGTTTGGCTCCTTTCTCAAGCATCAGAGGGGTTGTGGAGGCCTCATGGGACAGCTCACTGTTCCATGTTCCACCCCACAAGTATCTTGTGGACTCCCTACATGCACTACCTAGATAGGTTCTGGGATGTCTTCATGGAGCCAGGAGGAAATGCTTCCACCCAAGTTCTCATTTCATCTGGACTCCCTTTGGACAATGCAAAACCCCAGGCTGTGTGCAGGGTGGGATCTATGATGGGAAGCTGGGAATTGGAGGTGGCTGGGAAAGAGTTACCCTCTGTTGACTTTTGTATATGTTTGTCAGGTACCTGTTTGTTTTACAACTCAGGCATGACATTCTCTCTGGAAAGTAAGTATGCTTTGGTTCTAACTCTTCACCCAGGATAGATCATGATGTATTTCAAAATATTTCACTGTTTTAACTCTTTTACCCTTGTTCCCTTTTCAAAATTCAAAAAAAAAAGTGCACCAGGCATTGTAAAGTGAGTCTAATACTTGTATCACTGTCATTATCATCCTATTTTAAATGATTACTATATGGCTTGAAGCATTTCCAAGAGCATTTAATATCTTAAGTGATGTGTATTTGGGAATAATTCACTCCCTGATCACATCACTGCCCATTCATAATGGCTTTTTGTCGTATTTGCAAGCAAGATACGTTATTAGTATGTATACACGTACAAGTATTTGGGTAGTCAAAAAGTTTCATTCGTCACCATCCACATTGAAGTCATGGAAAGAGGTTGAGTTCTGATTTGGATAGAAAGAGGCTTAGCCATCTCATCTCATTTCCTTTCCCATCTTAAAAATGGTTTTTAAGTACTAGGCTTCTGGCTATGCACAATGATTATGAGCACAAGAAGCATTAGTTTGAAGTGGTTGATTTCGCATGCAATATTGGTTTATTTTAAAGATAAGATATTTCAACAGTCATAGCTTTTACAATGTCATTTTTCAGCATAGGTATTAAATATTTTCTATTACATGAAAAACTAAGGCTGTATTGAGTCTGAGAAGTAATACCTGATGTTACTGACAAGAGTCCATTCTGATTCTGAATGTAAGCCAAAGGAAATTTAAAATGTAATTTTGGAATTTGCAAACTCAATAGAATATGCATTATAAAAATTTCAATGAAATATCCTCTGTAGAATGAGTTGATTGTACAGTGTATACATTTGCCTTATTCAGCCATGCAATACAGACCTTTGGTTGGCATAAGTGTTATGAGTGTGTGTGTATTTTTATCTCTTTCTCCATACTGTGCTCCTTATACTTAAGGCCTTGTGACTGTAGAAATTGTCTTTAGTTTAGAAAAATATTAATGGCAGCACCCTGCATTTGTACAGTACTTTGCAGTTTGCATGCACTTCTGCCTGATTTGCTATACTTCAAAGCAGGACGAGGTTCTAGTCCTGATTAGATGACCTTGGGCAAGACCCCTGAATGCTTACTTCCTGATCTGTGAAATGGGAGATGGGGGACACTGGTCATACAAACTTGATGCATTGACCAGCTCAAATAATGTACATGAAAAGGCTTCAAAAACTATGAAGTGCTATACCAATGTATGCCATTATTATTTTTCTAACTGACTTTGAAATTATAAGTATGAATGAGATTGCCAGATTGGCATTAACACTTTTCTGTGGCTGTGCCTCAGTTATCCTGGCTAGAATCTAGCTGAGTGCACCCAGTATTAATTAGATATGGTGTCTGTGTGTTTACTGTTAACACTGCAACCTTGTTTCAAGAAAGATTTAAGACAGCTTGAAAAGATGCATGTACTTTATTGATACGACAAAATAAGTTTTAAAATAATAAGGCAAAGCAGAGGCTTTTCATTCATTTTTCCAAACTTCCCCATTCTGGCCAAATTCAGTCAAGTTGCCCATGTGATTGATGAAAAGTAGACCTAGAATGGGTTATTTTACCATATGATGAGAACTGACTTTGGGAACTTTGTAGTTTAAGTCAGTTTGCATTCTTTAATACAGAGAGCAAAAATATAAACTGAGAACAAAAATCATTGCCTAGATATCACTGCTTTTTGAAGAATGGCTTTCCCAGAATATTATATAGTTACGGGTACATAGCTTCATATTTAGAATTGATTTCTTTTTTTTCTTTTTCAAGATTGAAATGCCCCTATGAAACGGCTGTGGAATTAGCTGCCCTCTGTCTGCAAGGTACATTAATCTTTAGTAGTAATTAGCATTTTAATGTTATTACTTTTCATTTCAACAAATGAGTGTCTGTTGTGTGCTAGGTCCAGTGCTCTACTTTGCCCCAGGATATAAATGAATATGACATGGTCTCTGTCCCCAGGTAGCTTGCAGTCCAGTGAGGGAGGCAGATGCAGGAGACAGAGCGGTTCCACCAGGAGCAAAGACACGTGGGACACTCGGAAGAGGCAGGGCCACAGGGTTACGTGGAGAGGGAGATGACTCAAGGAACCAAGGCATGAAACAAAGGGCAGAGAGGGGCTGGGGTGTAGCTCAGTGGTAGAGCGTGTCCCTAGCATGCACACGACCCTGGGATCCATTCCCAGCACCCCCCCACACACACACAAAAAGAAGCATTAGCCCAGTGAGGAAGTAGCAAGTGTTGAATGATATGGCAGAGAGGGGTCAGAATGGCCTCAGACCCCACTTAAAAAGCATGAACTGCATGCCCCGCTGGCTATAGGGGAGAGGGGTTGGAGTGGGACCAAGACCATGGCTGAGATGCAGTGAGGGGTGCTGCTATAATAGGGAGATGAATAGGGCCAGTGGTTATGCGTGTACCCCAAAAGCCAGCCTTGATAGTACAGGAAGGCAGACCTGGTGATTAGACTTGGGTGTTGAGAGAGGAGTCAGAGAGCTGAGTCACAGGCTGCTTCCCAGGGTGGGCAGCGGCAGTGGTGAGCAGTTGAGGAAGAGCTAGGCTCCCGTGGAGGAGACAGCCTGCATAGGACCCCTGGGCCTAGAGGTGCCGGAAGCAGCTGCAGTGTCTCTGAGTCTGAATGTGGCTCTTGCACAGGTCAGGCTGGAAGCGTTGCTGCAGGTCATTGGCACACGGGCAGAACTGAACAGCAAGACGTCTGCCTGCTAGATTGTCAGCATGGGCTGTTCATCCCTGGGGTGCATTGGCAGATCATGGTTTAAAATGCCTAAGAAGCACTTGCTAAAGTCCCTAGCGCTAATTAAGAGAAGACTAATGTGTAGCTGCATATGTGGGGGATTTCATTAGCACATCAGATAGATATATGGCGTGGACTCGTTGATCAGTGTGTTTGTGGGCTTCTATTGGAGGATGAATTATGATGTGTTCATTCATAATTAGTATTTGTGAATACCATAACAGGACTTGGCTTCCCTCTTTTGTATTCTACCAATTTTTAAAAGTTAATCGAAGAAGTTTTTTTTGTTGTTGTTCAAATTATAAAATTAGTACGCTTATTAAAAGGCAGATAGAAAAGGAAATAACCCCCTGTCCGGCCACCCACAGGTCACCAGAGTTTCTATGAGTTTTAAGAGGATCTTTTAAGAAATGTAAGTCTGATCAGTCCTATACACATTTTCTGTATTTTTTTTACTCTGTATTTCTAAAGTTTTTTTTAAATATATATATATTTTCAGTTGTAGGTGGACACAGTACCTTTATTTTATTTTTACGTGGTGCTGAGGATCAAACCCAGTGTGTCAAGCATGTTAGGTGATCGCTCTACCACCCAGTCACAACCCCAGCCCTTTACTCTGTATTTTTAGTGCATTTTGCCATGTTTACACTCAAAGGTAGGAAGCTCTGTTCCTGGGTCACCTCATGTCCTACTTCTAATGGGGCTTGACATATGGCGGACAGATACTCACTAAGTGCAGAGTGATTTGAAGGAACACAGCTGGAGAGACCCCATTTTGAAGGGGTACCTCCCGTGTGGTCTGCCAGCACTGGTAGTAGAGGTGACGATAGTGTCATTCATAGCCATGATGGATCAGGTCCTCGGAGACCGCCACAGGATATGTGTGGCTTGGGGAGTGTCAACAGCCTGTCAGCTCTGGCCAGGGACAGACTTCACCAGCGTAGCCTGTGGCCTTCTTTCCCCTGAGAGCTGAGCTGTCCCATCAGGCTCGGCAGCCCAGCAGGAGGTGTCAGGGTGTTGTTGGTGAAATGAAAGCATCATGTCAGGCCTGAAGGTTTTCTCCTCAGGCCACTGGCACGATGTTGTAGCTTGCATACTGTCCTGAATGATTAGAGGCCTGGGCACACTCACAGCAGCACCATGCCCCCACCTCTGATGGAGGCAGCACAACACTCGGAGTCTGGCTCCAGCTGAACCCTCTGCCTTGCCCCAGCAGAGGCAGACGGAAGATCAGCTGCCCGTGAGCCTTTCTTGGAAAGATCACCCATTTGAGCTGGAGCCATAACATTAGTATAATTTAAGATGCAATCATTCTGTCAGTTTCAAGTAAAAAGACTTGGAAGATGTAGACACACACGGGAAAGCCCTTGTCACATCTGTCCCCGAGCCTCTCCCCCACCCCCATCTCCTGCTGGCTGCTTCAGCCTAGCAGTTTGCCCTGGGCTCTGATCACTCAAGCAACTCCGTGGGTCTGAGTCAAATGAAGGGTTGTGTTTCCTCCCCCGTGTGAGCTTTGAAGACATGTCTTGCCACCGTTGTCCTTGTATCAGTGGTACCTCCTGAGTTGTGATACAGTGGCCCTGCACGGAGGCTTGTGTTCCTTGGGGAGTAATTTTGTGGTAGACTTGAAAATTAATCCAAGTAAAAGGAACAAAACAAAAAAAAAGGAATGGAGGAAGATGAATAAGACAGTCATGTTTTGTTTGCCTGTGGTCTTTTCTGGTCCTTATTGGAACAATTCCCATTTTTCAGTTAAGGCTCAGAGACCCAGAGAGGTTAAGTGACTTGCCTGAGGTCGCATAGCTAGTACATGGTGGATTTGGGATTCAAGCTCTCCTATGTCTGGACTGTGCCCATGACCCTCCACCCTTCTTGGAGCTGGAGGCTCGCTGCAGAGTCTGGAGCCTAGTGAGGTGTCAAGTTCTACCAGATTCTTGAAAGGCAGACATGCTACCTCCAAATAGCACCAAGCGCTCAGGCCTCCTATAGTGCAATAAGGGTGAGGTCGGATGCTGGCCCCATGCCTAGTCTGAGCACAGCCGGGAGACCTTGTCATTGGCTTCTCTCTGGTGCTCAGTGATGTCAGTAGCACAGTTAGTCCCGTCCCATCTGCAGTACCACTAGACACAGGGCTCTGTTGCCTCATGTTGGCCAGTAGGTGCAGGAAAGGGCAGTTGATGACAAGGGAGTCTTTCTAGACCACACAGCCCCTCTGGATGTCCAGGGACCTGGTTTCATAGCAGCCTCTTGGACAGAGGTCAGTGGTGGCCTCCAGCAGTGGGGAACCAAGCTCTACCCTTTTGGGGCAAATAGTGTTTCCAGAGCAGTCTTCATCTGTGCCTTTACCCAAGGTACCAAGGGCTGCACTCCCTGACCAAGACTCTCCCGGGCCATGGACCTAGTGTGCAGGTGAGGGGCAGCAGGAGGGGGACCTTCCGCAGGCCCTGGCCCATGTACAAGCTTCTTGTACAAGCTTCTTGTACAAGCTCCTCACTGTCCATCTGAGTTTGGTATCACTGCTTCCTTGGTGTAGACAAGAGTATTTTTTCTACTCTGAAAGGCAGCTGGAGTCCCTCCCCGGAAGAGAGAATGTGGGATTGGGCTCTCAGAAGCCCATGCTGTCTGGGCGTGGCCTAATAGGTGATGGACAGGATTGCTGGGTACGAAGTGAGTTGCTGTCCCTGGACTGTTCGGGCACCTAGGCCTGCTTTGGTCTGTTGGTGAAGTTGGTGTGTGAAGCAGAGGTTCTCAAGAACATGTTCCAGGTCATCCACATCAGCATCACCTGGGAAATGCAAATTCTGGGCCTCCTTCCAGACCTACAGAAACTCTGGGTGTGGGGCCAGCAGTGTAGGTTTTACGAGCTCACCAGGCGATTCTGATGCACCTTCAAGTTCCAAAACTGTTGGAGATCAGTACTTTCCCAAGGGAAGTGTGCATGGGTCCTCTAGGCCTCTTGGGACAAGGCGGGCTTTGCCTGGGTCATTTCGGGGTGGGGCCTGGGGGTGTGCATTTCACACAAACGGGCTGTGCCGCTGGTCTTTGGACCATACTCTGTGTTGCCAGGAATTGGAGGAAACTGAAGGAGTCCTTTTTATTCTGGGGTCTGCAGAGGCTGGGTGGGGAGAGGTGACTTTCTCATTTATGCCTGGAGGGACAAAGCCACCTGTGTCCTCGGGGCCTCCATTCTGTGGCAAGAGCAAGGACCATGCAGCACGCTTTGGGCTTTCTGCTGGCATCGCTGCCTCTGCTGCTTCCCTTTCTGCACAGCCGCCTCCCCCCCAGGTTCTGCCCACTTTGCTGCAGTTGCTCCTGCAGCCCTCCCACCGCCTCACCCTCCCCGCTTCCCTCCTTGTTTTCTCCCTCAGATTCTGTATGTACCAGATTCTTGATCCGTTCTCTCCAGCACTGCAGGCCCTGAAGCGCTGCTCTCACCTGCCCTTAACAAGCACCTTGTGCTGTGGATATTGCTGGGCAGATCCTCATTCCCTACAATTGGCTTTTATTGCAAATGCGGGGCTCCGCCACTTCTCAGGGAAAATGCAATCAGGGCCTCCCTGGATGGGAGAAATAGTCAGGGAAAAGAGTAATAACCAAGATGATGGTGTATCACCCAATGGGGAGGGCATCGGAATGATTCTTGGGGACTTTGAGTGTACATATGACTACCAAGTGAGGCCTCAGTCCTCCTGAGAGGAGAGAGTTATACCTCAGGGGGTACTTGTGCTTCGTAATCATGCAAAATGCCTTTGGACTTGGCTGCAGCAATAACTGGAAGTATTCACTGTCTCCTCTTTTCCTCCCTTTTATGAACCTTGCAGCAGAGCTTGGGGAGTGCGAACTTCCGGAACACACACCAGAGCTTGTGTCTGAGTTTCGGTTCATTCCAAATCAGACAGAAGCGATGGAATTTGATATCTTCCAGAGATGGAAAGAGTGCAGGTACCTTGATGCGCCCCTCTAGCATTCTGACCTGTTTATTCATCTTGTCCTGTGTGTGTGTGTCGGACTCTCTTGTCCACTGTAGAATCGCTTAGTTGATGGCCATGAGACAGCAAGCAGCTCCTGTTCTGCTGTGCTTCCTCCACACCTGTGTTCCCAGGGGCCCCCGTGTCATCTCTTTTCTGAGAGAGATGCAGCAAGAACCAAACCATAGTCTCTCTCTCCCTCTGAAGTAGAGGTTTGCTTGATGTTGCCAAGAGTGCCACCACCAACCTGGCGGCACCCCAAGTGTGCCCAGCAAGATGGCAATGCCCCCCACACACTCTCACACACCTTGGTCACTGGTGACCCTGACCTGAACCTTCTAGAGCAAACCTTTTAAAAACACGAGTGGAGCATCCCTACTCTGAAAGACCCAACTATGAAACTTTTTGATCACCAACATGACACCTTGGAAAAATTCCACACCTGACTTCATGGGACAGGGCACAGTCAAAATGCAGGAACAGTAAAAACAGTGTTTAAAATTACCTTCAGGCTATGTGCATAGTATGTATATGAAACATAAATGAACTTCATGTCTAGACTTGGGTCCCCTCCCCAAGATATCTCCTCACCTATATGCAAGCTTTCCAGAATCTGCACATGTCTGAGATTGGAAACCCTTGCGACCTTGCGTGTTTCAGATGAGCAGTGTCCAGTCTTGTAGTCCTGTCATGTAGGAGTCCCTGCAGTTGAGACTGTGTGCTGTGCTGTGTAGTATTTCAGGAAGTGTGGCCTCACACCTAAAGCCGGCCATGTCATTTATGTCTTTGGTTCCTCCCCGGCAGCCCCTGCCCTGATCCAACATGGTTGAACCCCACTCAGTCATTTCCCTGGGGTCCTTCCTTCCTCCCCACCATCCCTGCTTCCCCCCATACCACCCTGTTGCTCGCAGACCTGAAACTTAGTATGGCCCCCTGTATGTAGCCCCTCATGAAAAGCCCGGTGACTTTATTGTTGTTGGTAATGGAAGGTGACATGAGTGCAGTCTCATTGTATCGTTGACGCAGGTTAGAACTGTGTGGCTCTGGAGTCCTCCCACCACCCACCCCCTCACACACCCGTACAGCCTCCTGCCCTGCTGGAAGCCCTTGGCAGCAGCCTGTTGTGTGTCCTTCCCACCCCTTTCCTTTGTGTTTAAATATATATTTCTACACCAAAAACAAACAAAAAAACAAAACCGTGGTCCTGTTTTCTAAAGTGACCCCCTTATAAGCACTGTCCTCTGATCTTCCTATTCAGTAACAGTATGTTCTTGGAGATCTTTTCCATCAGTAGAACTGGCGCCCCCCTTGCTGTCATTGCTGCGTGACCTTGCACAGTGTGGAGTGCCCTCCAGAACCCCGTGGGTGTGAGAGTCCCCGTTTACGTGTGTTTCTGTTGGTTTTTCTAAGGGGAAAGAGCCCTGCCCAGGCGGAACTCTCCTATCTGAATAAAGCGAAGTGGCTGGAAATGTATGGGGTAGACATGCACATTGTCAGGGTAAGGACTGCCGAGTTTGAGTCGTTTGCTTTTGCTATTACTGAAAAGTATGTAAACGGTGTGTCAACAAAGTAACTTGTGGTGAGGGAACTGTTTTTGCATTCTGCTCTGTGACGACCTGTTAGAACCCTCTACCGATTGTCACTTCGTTTGTTTGTAGGGAAGAGATGGCTGTGAATATTCTCTTGGACTGACCCCGACAGGCATATTAATCTTTGAAGGAGCTAACAAAATAGGCTTATTCTTTTGGTAATTTAGTTTTGTCTAATATTAAAATGTCTTTTCCTATTTTGTGGTGGAGTCTATGTGATGGATGATTATGGAGGGATATACAACACCCAGATTTGTTTTTAAAATCACACCATCCTTTTCTCATTGTGGGGGTGTGGCAATGACCCTGAAACCTCTGGATAATCACATGTAAATGAATGAATGATTTTTTTTTTCTTAGCCAATCTAAGCTTTAAAAGTAGAAAGGAAACTGCTGTTTGATGTGTAGATCATTTTACCGCAGACTGCTTTTTTAAAATGCTTTCTCTCTGATCAGGCCTAAAATTACCAAAATGGATTTTAAAAAGAGCAAACTGACACTCGTGGTGGTGGAGGATGATGACCAGGTAGGCCTTGCTCCCCATCGGTCTTCCTTGCTGTGAACAGCCCTGCTTTGATGTGACAGATGTCCCACCGGGACCCTGTGCTTGCTCTCTCAGGGCCGTGAGCAAGAGCACACCTTTGTGTTCCGGTTGGACAGTGCCCGGACCTGCAAGCATCTGTGGAAGTGTGCTGTGGAGCACCACGCCTTCTTCCGCCTGCGCACGCCGGGAAACAGCAAGTCCGCCAGATCGGACTTCATCAGGCTGGGCTCCCGCTTCAGGTTCAGGTGGGGCCGCCTTGTGATGTGGGTGAGGTGTTTCAAAGGAAGGCAGCTGCTTTCCTTTGTGAACCCAGCAATTTGGGTCATCATAGGTCCCATCTCCACTTCCTTCCTAAGCTCTGACCATCAGGTGAGCCATTTAAGCTCTTTTGGCCTCATTGATAAAATGGAACTAAAGCGGGTTGAAGATCCCTTATCCAAAATGCTTGGGGAAAAAAAGAAAGAAAGAAAGAAAAAATGCTTGGGACCAGAAAGGTAGATTTTGGAGCTTTTCAGATTTTGGAATATTTGCCTATTTGATTTTGCAAATATTTGAGTCTCAACACTCAAAAAGTTGGGAATTTGGGAGCACTTTGGATTTTTGAATTAGGAATGCTCGACCTGTAGTAACAAAATTATTCGTAGCTGGCCTGCAATTAGAGCTACGCTGTCCAGTACAGTAGCCACTAGCTACGTGGAGCTATTTCAATTAATGGATAGTTAATAAACTTTAAAATGTAGTTCCTTGGCCTCACCAGCCACATGTGAGGTGCTTGGTAGCCTCATGGCAATAGTGGCTACTTATTGGGCAGGGCTGACTGGGCATAGCGTCATTGTTCACAGTTCTTTTGGACAGCACTATGCTAGAACTCTTCATGTATCCACACTTACTCATTGCAGCAGCCTTAATAATGAGGCAGATTGGCTATCCCCAGTTTTTAGACAAGGAAACCAGGGCTCAAACTCCCACATAAACACGGTAGTGCAGACTCTCGACCTGACAATGCAGTTCTTATATCTCCAACCCCTAGTAGCAATCTTTCTTTCCCCTGCCAATGTCAAGAAACTTGGTTATGATTAAGAATGAAAGCAGATGTCTGTATGTGTGTGTCTCCATCTCCCGTAGGGTCGTCTCAGTAAATATTAGAATCTGACAAGAGCCTGAAGAAATAGAGAGCTTATTCTGATATATTTTTACTTACGATTCTAAGACCATGTCTTTCTCTAAGTGCATGAAAACTCCCTGGGGTTTGTTAAAAAGGAGAATGTATGGCCTTACCGAGACCTTTGTTGTCAGCCTGTGAGCGTGCACACCTCTGTGTGAGGCCTTGGAATGTGCATTTTCAGTGTGCTCCCAGGGTTGACTTTTGAGACACATGTGTAGGTCTGAGAACCTCAGTGATGAGATATAAAACTTCACATGGTTTCATAACCTCTACCCACACATGGTATGTCCCTGAACTCTGTTTAAAATGCCAAAAGATTTGCTCATTTCAGATTTATCTACGGTGCAAGGAAACGGCTGTGCACTTCTGTTTAAAGAATTATTTTGTTTGAATGTATTTTTAAATGCTCCAAGAGGAGGGGAAAAAAATAAAAAGACCAAGTCCTTTTGAGAAAGAATCGAATCACAGGGCTCTTGGAGGATGGAAATGTCAGATGGCAGAGGCTCCGCAGAGCTGCTCCGTGGTCTGCTGGGGTGGGGGGTGGGGAGGGCAGTGAGGAAGTGAGGAGCGGGGGTGGTTGCCAAGCAGGCTTGCTCCCTCCTGGGAGGAAACTCCCCCAGAATTTGGCCTGTACCTAGTGTCCTCTGGTTTTCAAGGAGAACTGTAGAAGGAAGGGAAGCTTTGAGATGAGGTTGCCCCTTGGAGACACGCAGAGCAGGTGGTGTGTGTCTCCTTCCATCTGATAAATCATAAACCAGTAGCAGCTGGAATGAAGCCATGATGGTAGATCAGCAGAGTACAGCTATCCCTCCTGGAAGCTGCAGCCAAAGTCATCGAATCCCAGAAAGCCCTGGTGAGATAAATACTGTTTCCCGTGGCATGGCAAGAGAAGCCGAGGTACAGTGAAGGGGTCATTGGTAACAGCCTTCTAAAAGATGAGTTAAATGTCTACACAGCATGTTCCATTGAAAGGGTGTTTTGTGTGCTAATCAACATTCTCTTAGCCAATGTTCCAGGTACTCAGATCTGCTTGGTTTGTGCAGCCAAGTGGCTGGTACTTAAATTGCAGGTTTTATCCTTTGATAGAGATACCTTCCCCTGTCGCATAGCCTGGATTTGGCAAATGTGATTTTGTTTCCAAATAGAAAGCTTAAACTTAGTGTATCTTTCCCAGGAAAGTATAGTGGTACCCTTGAATATACAAACTCACTTCCAAATGTGTATGGTGTGCTGAGATTCTGATAATGGTAACATGTAAACAAATGTTCATTCCCAGTGGGCGGACAGAGTATCAAGCTACGCACGGCGCCCGTTTACGAAGAACCAGCACCTTCGAGAGGAAGCCCAGTAAACGCTACCCATCCCGGAGACATTCTACCTTCAAAGGTTCTGCAATTTTATTCTGTGTCGGCATTTTACAGCACAGCTCAGTGGGTCAAGCCCTGAGGAGCTGGCTCCAGCAGCCTGAGAGGAACTTGCTGCAGTTCTGCTCTATCATCCTGAAACCTTTCAAAGAGGTCCCGGGCCGTTCTCTGGGTGGGGTCAGGGCTTCTGCTGTCCTACAGTCTTTAGCCACCCCCTTGCACATGCCCACTTGCTCTCCCCCAAGTCCATCATTCTTTTTGTGTGCCTCTCTGCTTCTTTTAGACCTGGGACCTCAGCAGTATGACAGGTCACCTGTCTTGTTTATAGAAGGTGCTGTGTCCCTTCTCGCCACCATCTTGTCATGTCTGGTGGGGATACCAGGTTCTTATTAACCAAAATTTAACTGCATGGAGTAGATGCAGAACTTGGAGAGACTTGGCTCAGGTGCCTACAGTCAGTCCAGGCCCACCCTATTCTTGAATGTAGCCAGGTCCTGGGATGCTGCCCCTTCCCCTCCCTAGACCCCCCCACCTGAACCTTGTCTGTCCCTTACTGCTGTGGCTCACACCTGCATGAGGCCAAGAACCAGGAGGTGCTCAGTCAATGAACGAGCAAGCCAGCTTATTCTGTTTGAGCCAGGCTTCACCGCCTATCTAATAGCTCCTTCCTCCCCACTGATTGCTCCTCCATCGGGGACACCCAAGTTAGTGCTCAGCGGTGGCTCTTTTAAAGCAGCAGGGCCTCGGCACTCTCAGCCCCACCCCTTCTCTCTACCCTTTACTCGTTGTGGCCATTCTGTGAGCTTCTCTTCCACAGCTCAGGACTTAGTGGGCCTCCAGGGAACCCAGCTTCTCTACTTGCCCCTTCTGGAATCTTTAACTTTCATTACTCCACCTTCCTTCCATCGCCTTCCTGTATGAACCAACATCACAGTAATCATGGCAGCCACAAACTCTCAGTCATTCTCAGCTGTTTTAGTGGAACAAAAATGCCCACCACCCAGAGAACATGGCATCGCTTTCTAGAAAGGCCAGAGGATGGGAGCATGTCCAGAGAAGGGTTATGAGTTAACACAGAGTGATTGTAGCAACTGCGGAGTGTCTGAGGTAGGGAGGGAGAATTCGCAGCTCCAAGGGCTGCTGCTACCTGCACAAGCAGGATCACGTCTGCATGTTTGATTCATTGGGTCACAGTTGTCAAAAGCAGCAGAATTTTCCAAAGATAAAAATTACTTATTTGAGACAGTAGTGAGGTCCCTGTCCCTTTGTGTGTGCACAAAAGGAACAAGCCTTGAGCCCTGGTGTGGCTATCTTGACCCCACCAGATGGCCTGGAGCTCTTCCAGAATCCTGGTCCTGTGATCACCTCCCACGCTCCTTCCTGGTCTCCAGCTCTTTTTCTCCCCCTTTATTTTACAGACTTTTTTTCCCCCCTAGCCAGAGCCGCATCCTTCTTAAAGCAAAATTGGAAGAAAAAGTAGAGTGTAGATGAATAAGCTCCAACTCAGGCCCTGTGTCCATATCATGTGGACTCTGACCCCACCCCAGTCAGAAAAGTCTGCCCTGGTTTCCCCAAGTGTGGATACCTCTGGAATTTCCTCCTTTATCTCCTTGTGCTGATTTTACTTCTCTGTGCTTCTTGTCTCTGTCTCAAAACCATGAGCTCCTGGGCTGTTTGGTGTCCACAATGCAGCTTGCCCAGCCCTGGGAACCTGCTCAGGGAAGGGCTGCTGCAGGCACGGAAGGAAAGGGCAGAGTGCATTGAAGAGAGGGGTGGCTCAAACTCTCTGGGAAGGAGAAAGAGCCACAGTGCCTGTGACTTGGACTGGGCTGGGGACCGGCCTGTGACTAGAGAAGTCTGTCTTGCAGGCAGTGCCTGTCTGTGCCTGGTGAAATTGTAAAGCTCTCTAAGATGTCATAACTTAGTTTTTCCTTTCCAGCAAGCAACCCGGTGATCGCTGCTCAGCTCTGGTAAGTGAGCTCCCCACCTCGAGCACAGCTCTGCTCCCTGTGTATTGTGTTTATTTGCGATACTGACTTTCCCCTTAAAACAACAATTAAATCACAGTGAGTCACCTGTTAATATTTTTTTTTTTTCCTTTTTCTGCTGCCTGGCTGTCCCATTCTCCTGGTTTTCAATAAGTACATGTTGGAATGTTCCAAGACAGTTGGTTTTTCTGGAAAACACAGGTGCTTGGTTTGAGAGGCGTTGTGCTTTGTTTTTTTTATAACAGTGGACAAAAAAGGGGACAGGCATGTGTGGGGCACACCGTGCTGTGGTGTGGCAGCCAGCGATGGGGAAGGGAAGGCCGTGCTCCCAAGCAGGTGTCGGGTCTGCTCAGTGACCTTCAGGTGTGAGAGTCATACGTGGTAGGAGACATTAACCCATTCAGTGCCATTCCTGCAGGGAAAAATAAATTAGCATAAGACTGAAAATTTCCAGCACAACTTTCTGTAAAGGGCAGATAGAAAGTGGTTTCTACTCTGCCAACTGTGTGCTGTCTCGTTACAACCATCTGGCTCTGCATGGGGGCAGCTATGACCATGTGACCAGACATGGCTGCATTCTAATAAAACGTTATTCACAAGCACTGCTCCAGATTCAGCCTATAGGCGGAATTCAGCCAGCTTGAAGCCCCTTCCCAACACAGGTGTTTCGGATCTTTCTGTGTATTGGAATTATCTGGTGAGCTTGGAAGGGCACCCTTGGCTGGGCCAGGCCCTGGGCCAGGTAACCTACCTGTTTTTCAGTGCTCCCCAGGTGAGTCTAGTGTGCAGTTCAGGTGAGAGCTACTCACCTACTGGGCACATATGTCTTTCTCCTCCTATGAAACAACTTTATTTCCTGTGTGAGTTTGGATTTGCTGGTGGGACAGGTGTCATGGGGAGAGAACCACAGTTTCAGGTTGCTGAACTCTTGCTCTGGCTCCAGCCACAGGTGGGTAGCCCGTTTTAGTTAGCCTGCCAGCCGCGGGACTCAAGGCTGCTGGGGAGAGTGGCCTTTGAGATGGGCCTGGCTTGACTTGCAGTGAACTCTCAGCTAGGACAGTGAGCAGATGTGGCATGTGATGGGGCAGGTTGCTGCTGCCCTGGTTAGTGGCCAGAGCCCTGTCAAGGTCTCAGGAGCCCTCTCTCCCAGCACACTTCATGCTCTGGGACCTTGGTGTCCCCTTTCTGGTCCTCCTTTTTCTCATTTGCAATCGAGGAGGTTGGGCTAGATCAGCATTTTCCCAACTCTTTTAGACTCTGGACCCCACCCTCATACACACTCCAGAAAAAGCATAATGTAGAAGCCCAGTGAACAGAACAGACAAAAACAGCTGCTCTGGAGCAAGCTGAGTGGGAGAAACGGGGCAGGCCCTGCTGCTCATCTGCCTCCTCCCCTTACGTAGCTTCAAGGCACCATCAAGGATCCCTGGGTTTTCGAGGACAGAACCAACCCCTCGGATCACACAGCTGGGAGCTGTGCTCTGCTCCAAGCCATGCTTGCAGTGTGTTCTGCCGGGGCTCACGCATGCAGCCTCTTGCCTCTGGATTTTGTTCCCAGTATCTAATGAAGGGCTCGAGGGTCCTATTGAACTCGTCTGCATTGCCCCTGGCTCCCTGTGGTAGAGGGAGCATCTTGCACGGGTTAGCGAGTGTCTGCAGGTGTGCCTGTGCCTACGGTTGTTCTGGCAGGAAGTAAGCTGGAAAACACTTGCACCCTTCTTAGCCAGTCTGGTGTCTCACTCTTGATTCTCAGGGCCTGTGAGTTGCAGCCATTCTTTCCTTGGCTCTCTTAGGAGGTGATTGTTTGTTTGTATTTCCCTAATAAAATGACATTTTCCTCTTAGCGTCTAGTGGAGATTATATATTGGGAATGAAAACAAACTACCAAAGAAAAAAAAAAACAGTAAATATACCCTTTAGGAACAAATGAGCTAATAACCGCTGTTCACAGCTGTTCAATTGCTCTTCGCAGCCTGTGAGATCCCGGGGTGAGTGGGATTGCTATGGGAGCTACGTATGAAATTATGTTCTGGGCTGCAGAGGTGCTACCAGAAAAATAGCCCCTCGCAGACCACTTAACCTGCCTGATGAAGCCCAGCCCGCAGCAATCTGGCCCAGAGCCCAGCTCAGTGTACTAGTCCTCTCTGAAAACTGGAACACAGAGCCAGTTAGACCCCAGGCAAGACTCATAGCCAGGACACCTTCCCTGTCATTGTTGGAGAAGCAATAAACTTGATTTCAAGCACACCGCCCTAGCAACAGTGATTATCCAAGGATTGTGCCATGTTTCTGCGTTTCTGGCAGACTATGAGCTTGCATTTTTAAATACATTGCATTTGACACCAACCTTTTCTGTGTGCATGTGTGCACATACGTGTGTGTGTGTGTGTGTGTGTATTTAGGGGGAGGCTCTCAGGGTAATTCTATTCAAAATGACATCAAAATAAGATGCATGAGCTCTAAATTTTTCCTTCGGCCTCTGAGAGCCAGGTTGGTTTAGTGGAGAGAAGACAGACTCTGGGATTGAGCAGATGTTCAGTCCAGCCCTGGTTCTGCCGCTGACTAGCCAGGTGACCCTGAGCAGGTTTCCTAATTCTCTGTTAGGCAACTGTTCCTTTATCTGTGAAATGAGGTGGAAGGAAACATAGTTGGCCTCACAGCCCTACTGGGTGGGTTAAATAATAACAGATGCAAAGTTCCCAGAAGCACCTGTATGGAATGAGCATTCCACAGTGGTGCCCAGATCAGCAGCAGCTTAGCTAAGAGCAAGGGACCCACATGTGGCTGCCACCAGAATGCCATCTACCAGTGGTGGTAGATGTCCAGAAGTGGCTGGCCACTGTGCCTCCAGGGGGAGGCAGCTCTGTACATCACTGTAACTTCCTGGGACCACCCAGGACGGTCAGGGCAGCCTGCAAGGGGAACTGAAGTTACTTGGTTTGCAAAACTGAAAGGACTTCCTTTCTGCTACCAAAATGCGCTATCACAGCTGCGTTTGGAATATTACCAGTCTGTAATACTTAGGTAATTTTGGAATGTTACCTAAAGTGATGGATAAAGGTTGCTGTCTGTGGTTTGCCTGATTATATGTTCATTTAAGCATCCAATAACCAAGAAGAAATAGTGTGTGAACATTCCTAACAGAGCAGGGAGTACATAGGAGGGGCTTATGATTAAATAGGTCCCTAGTAATGCCACTTTACAACCTGTAAAGTTACAATGTTTCTTTTCCTTTTTCTTTTTAGCTCTAAAACAAATCCTGAAGTCCATAATTACCAGGTGAGATCCTACTTTTAAAGATCTTTCTAAATTTGCTATAATTATCATCATTATGTATATCATTAGATTTTGAAGAAATAATATGTTAAGTTTTTTTTCTGCCTTTTTTTTTTTTTTTGAGAAAACAGTAAGAAAAACTTCTTTCCTGGCCCCGCTTCCTCCTGGCCATCTGAACTGCCTGTTTTTCTTAACCTTGGCAGCTGGCAAGCCTCAGGGACATGTGCTTAAGTTTCTGGGTGGTCAAATGCAACCTCGTAGTGACATTCAAATAAGACAGCCTTTTGTTGAAGCATGTCCTAGGCCTGGGGAACACGAGTCCCTTGAGACGTTCCTCCAGAAGAGGATGCTTTGGTCAAATGTTTGGTAAATGTTGCTTCCTTCATTTGCCTTCTGGGATCTTAAGTGCCCATTGGGATGTAAAAATATGAAAAATCCTACAAGAAAGGCACATTTTATTTTATTTTTAAGATCTTTTTAAAGTTGTAGTTGGACCCAATACCTTTATTTTATTTATTTATTTTTATGTGGTGCTGAGGATCAAACCCAGTGCCCCGCACGTGCTAGGCGAGCATTCTACTGCTAAGCCACAACCCCAGCCCCTTATATTTTTTTATAACTCAGTATTTCACCAAATCATCTGTGAATTGGTCCCCCCACCATTAAAAAAAAAAACAAAACTAGCCTCCACTGACTTTTTTTTTTTTTAATGGTAAACCCATTAACATCTGTGGAGCAGTGGTTTCTAGAACCTGCTTTGTAAAGCACGGTGCTGGTCTCTCACCCACAGGAGCACAGGTGTGTTTCCACAGTTGATGTTCTGCTCTTCTGCAGGACAGCCAGCCAGGGCCCATGCTGCCTGCCCGCCTGCCTGTCCACCTATGCCAGGAAAGCCTTGGTAGCCTGAAAGATGTGGTCCACAGTGCAGCCTCCTCCTAAGCCCTCTCTGGCCATTCGTAGCCTTCTGTGACCTGATTCTGACTTCTCTGCATTTTATTTCTCACCCCTTCTCATCGTACCCCAAAAGTTCTGCTCACAGGGAGTTGCGTAACTGTCACCCCCAATTCCTTTCCACTCTTCCTCTGCCCATGCTCGTCTGCCTGGAATCCTTTACCTCCTACCTGTTCACTAAACATATGTTTTGAAGAGCAGCTCAGGAGCCCCTTCTTCCTGATCTCCTCAGCTGGAAGCCACCAGCTCTAGCGATTCTCATTCTCCTGCACATTAAAGCAGTCTGGCCAGCGTTTAAAAAATAACCAGTGCTCGGGCCTCACCCCAGAAAGATTGAGCTGAAACGCTAGGGGTAGGAACCAGGCATGGGCAGAGTTTCAGAGTTCCTGAGGAGGTTCTAATGAGCATCCAGGCAGGGGACCCTGGGTGGACGATGTGGTATGTACCTTGCTTCTCAGGTGCTCATTGGTTTCTGCTCAAAAGCAGTATCCCTCTCTGGTGACTTTTAGTTGGAGGCCTTATTTTAGTCATTTTTTTTTTCTGTTGCTCTAACAAAATACCTGATGCTGAGTACTTCATAAATTTAAAAAAAAAAAAGTACATTTAGCTCATAGTTCTTGAGGTTCAAGAGCATGGCACTGGCTTCTCCTGGGTTCCAGTGAGGACCTTAGGGCAGATGGTACCACAATGGCAAGAGTGTGTGTGGTAGAAGAGATCATCCTGGAGACAGGGAGCCAGGCAAGGCGCAAGGCGGGTGGTGCTTGCTTTTTTTTTTTTTTTTAAATAACAACTTACTCTCAGTGGAAACTAACCAGGATCCCAGGATATTTACCCTAATCTCCTTCAAGGACAGCATGCCCTCCCCTCGACCCCTGCACCTGATCACCCCCCACTAAGCTCCACCTCTTAAATGCCCCCACGGCCTCATACAGCAACACACCGAGGACCAGGACAGCACATGAACCCCTGGGGGAAAACCACATCAAACCACAGAAGGTCAAGTCTCTCACTCCTGGTGGGTGTGAGTGTCCCCAGGGACACTGTCCTCCCGGGTTGCTGTTCCCTAATCTTAGTCTGGTTGTCAATAGCACAAGTGATGCTACTGTTCTACAAACAATTTCATGTTGGAGTCTTATACTCATCATCCCTTTTCCGGGTCCTTCATTACCATAGAGAACAGTCCCTTACGTGAGGGTGAGACCTCAATGGACATCATCTTCACTAGGTTTCCAAGTTATGTCTCCCAAGAACTTGGTGATTGACTTGCATCCTCGACACCACATTCCCAGTGTGCAGAACCTGGACGTGACTTCTGAGTTTCAGGGAGCAACATGGAAATGGGGCTTGGTAGTAGAAATATTCTGGTTTCCTTCTCTCCCTGCCTTCCTGGGATTCTTGAGTCTCATTCTCAGGCTGTTTTTCTTGCGGGATTGTCAGGTGTGAGCAACTGTTGTAGGGGCAGGGAGAGGTTACCAATGGTGATCAGTGTTTGAAGGAGAGGAAAAGAATAAAAATTAACAAAGTAAAGCAGCCCAGCTTGGCACTCCCCTGCGGGCGTGGGTCCTCCCTGTGCCTTCTCTGCTTGGAAGTTTTGGGTTGGCATCAGATCTGCAGAAACTTATCTAGACATTGTTCTCTCCACATCATTGGCAACCACTGGTCCCGTGCCAGACTTAGAGGGCCCGTGTTGCTCTATCAAGGTTTGGGAGTAAATTGCCTGGGAAGAGAACATCCTGAGGAGGACTGGCTTGGTGGCCTCAGAATGCTGCACGGAGTTCTCGGGAGGATGGCGTGACAGCATTTATCTGATTCCCAGTACAGCAAGGTCAGCCAACTGCAAAGGAGGGATGGCTGTGTTCTCCGGGAGGACACTATTGGCATTTGAGGAGGGACAGCTCTTCCTTGTTTGGGACTGTCCCTGAAGTTGCAGGATGTTTAGCTGCCTCTTCCTGTGTCGTCATGACAAGCAGAAACACATCCATGCATTTCCGTTGTCCCCAGGGGGACATGACTTTCTCAGTTGAGAGGACCATCTGGCTTAACATAAAACAGATTACCAGAGGAGACTGAGGAAGGTTCTGGAATCTCCTTTTTCCAGGTCTGTGGATCAGGTTCCCACCTCTTTCTGATGAATCTGATTTGGTGTGTTTGAAGGCAGAGAAGAGAGTAGGGGATCCAATTGTGGGTTAGTTGTTCTTTTTTGTTGAAGATCCAGGGTGTGGAACCTCATTTGGGGCATGGCTGAGACCACAGCACCTAGAACAGTTTGGCTTTGTGCAAATCATCCAAACCCTATGGGTGTCTGAATCTCCTAAAAGGAAGAGACATGAAGAGATGGCAGCAGGGAGATCCTAGAGCCCTGGTCATCTCTCCAACTCTGCTGCTAAGCTATTTTCTCCAGATTCTTTTCCCCTGCAGCTTGTCCTTTGGGGGCTGCAGACTCAGCTTGCTGACAGGCATGTTTGAAGGCAGAAAGAAAGGCTACTGGAATACAGAATAGGCTGGGAGGGCATCTCAGGTCCATGAAAATTGGATGAACGGAATTGCTGAGAATTTTCTGTAACAGAGCAGCCTGCTGCTTATTAACCGAAGCAGCAGGAGAAGGAAGAGGAAGGGAAGAAATAATTAAAAGATTAATGGTGCCAAGATTGTAGTGACTTTAATGTCAGGAGGGCTTAATTTGCCCCATAGCAAGTTTAGCCTTGAGAAACCCCGGGACTGTGTCTAGGACTGCTGCCCTCTACAGGCCAGATGTGGATAGGCTGCCTGCAACCCATCCAGGCCCGTCTGGGTTCGCCCTGATCACTGTTTTGGGTCTGTTTTCTTCCTCTTGCAATGGATGACTTCCCACCCTCCTCCTTTCCCTTTAGCCATCTCGCCCAGCCTCCCTCCCTGTCTACCTTCGTCCAGTTTTATCAAGATAATAAGTGCTGTGGATTTTTTGTTTGTTTTAGAGTACATTTTAGAAAATTATTTTTAGCATTTATACCAGGAAGAAAGAAATTCACCCACAGCTCTGCTGTCTCACTTTGCATCCCTGTCCAGCCCTTGAGTGTGTGCAGATGTCACCGTCACACACATCATCATCATCATTTGCAGCAGCAACAAAAACTTTCTCTGAAGAGGGAAATTGACTCCTGCTCTCACCTTCTTTCTGTTATCGGGTCCCCTTGGCAGGGAGGAATAGTGCCCGTCCTGGGTACCAGAGGACCACCCCCTCCAAGCAGAGGTACTGTGCTTCTGGAGTGGCATCCCAGCACTTCCCAGGAGTCCACCTCTGTAGATGGCGCTTTGAGAACCAGGCTCAGGCTTCCAGTCCCAGCCTTTGACAGTGGGAGAAACCCCATCACCCTGGGAGAGGTCCGCCGCTCCGCCAGGGTTCAGTTACAGTCTTTCTGTCACAGCCCCCTCCGCCCCTGAGCTGGTTGCCATGAAAAAGAAAGTGAATGGAGACCATTGAAATCCAAAGGCCAGTGGGTAATCAAGTGTGGTATTTTGTTTCTAGCCTCAGTACCATCCGAACGTCCACCCCAGCCAGCCCCGGTGGCACCCTCACTCTCCAAATGTCAGGTAAGTGTTGACACTCCCTGAGCTGCGCTTTGGAAAGTTCTCCTTTCTCTTGAAAAGCTCCCACTCTACTTAGTTATGAATTGGAAGTCTGCTGCAGAAGCGGTTCCCGAGGGTTACATTGCCAAGGCAGGGATGAATCATTTGCAAAGCAGTAGAAGCCAGCCACAAGTTTTTGTGAAATAAAAGGGAATTTTTTTTTAAACACTCTAACCTCAGATATTTTGGATTTGATTTTATATCAAGATGTTACTTAGATTTTCTAAGTAACATTTTCCTGTTCTAACAATTTGTTTACTTATAATGTGATTAAAACGTGGGGATTGTCATTGTGGGTTTTTTTTTTAATTGGATGGGGACAGGGTTTGCTTTTCTGGCAATGGATTCCCCCCACCCCCACCCCACCAAACCCAAGGGTCAGTAAACAGTTTCTGTAAAGCATAGTCAATATTTTTGACTGTGGTCATTGTCACTCCCATTGACTCAACTCTGACATTGTTGCCTGAAAACAGCCATAGACAAAACATAAGTAGGAGGACATGGCTGTGTCCCCAGTAAAACTTGTTTGCAGAAACAGTGGGATTTGACCTGATGGCTGTTACTTACTGACCCCTGCCCTACCCGCCTGGGCCCTGCCTGGGCCTCCCCCTGAAGAATTGGCACTGCTCTACTGTGTTTATAGTTAGGCCCCAGAGTGTTTTTTAAGGCCAGTTTTGTGAAAATAGATATGCCTCTAAGATTTGCATTTTAGATCAGTCTTAATTAGTGTTTATTTGTCAAGCCCATTCAGGAACAAAGTTTGTGAATTGAGTTTGCTTAAATAGAGTTGTAAGCCTTGCTCCTTGAGAAAAATCAAGTGGTGGAAATCAATTTGCTTAGACCAAGGCAAATAAAAGTCTTCAGTGGATCTTGTAATGACAACAGTGCAATTTTTTAAAATTATAATCACCTTGATTGATATTCATATAGCTTTTGTAGCAAGTTAGATTAGTGAAGTGATCATTCTTACTCTTTCTGTATTTCAATGGTAGTTTATTTTCCAGACAGAAGAAACAGAAGATTGATTTTTTTAAAAAAGTTATTTTATTAATACTGCTTTTATGAACTTTATACGTAGTATTGTCTGTTTTATTGTAGTAGTTTCCTTAGTTCCACTATTTACAAGGGATTCAACAGAGTCCCTAGCAGGTGGCCCTCCTGAAGGTCAGCCTTAGCATCCCCTGGGGGCCTGTTGGGAATGCCTGCTCTCAGCCCCTCCCCAGACCTCCTGCATGGGAATCTCTGGGATGGGTTCCAGCATTTTGTGTATTATCAGCCTTCCCATGAAAAGAGAGTTTTTTAGTCCAGCACTTTTGGCAAATGCCACCGTGGGTGATCACAGATCACCCTGCACGTTAGCATGATAGAAGCCTTCCTTGTGGTAAAGGAACCTTCCCACTTCACCTGGCTTCCCAGACTGACCTGACCGTGTGACACCCTTTGAGAAGAGGTGACTGGGCCATAAACAGAACTCTTAACTTGGAAGTTGATAGATGATCCGCATCTGGAGTTTCTAAATTACTGAGTAGCCAGTCCATTCATTTCCGTGTGCCCGCCATCACGTCCGCTGGTCCCCTGCCCGTTTCCTTTGTACCTGTGTTGTCTCACTCTCGTCTCTGAATTCTCTCCCATTCTCCCACTAACCCTTCACTCTGCAAACAAAACAGGCCACCCTTTCAGGATGACAGGTGGCTCTGGAAAGCACCGGCCAGCGGAGAGGACAGCCATTCTGTCCACGCCCAGAACCCGAGGAACGTAGGAGGGACGCACAGTGTGATGTGTCGGGACAAACTCATGACTGCTCTCTGAGACTGAAGCGTCTCACTCCAGGCCCCACCGTGCCGTCACTGCATCCCATGAGAAGGGTCTTGGTGTCAAGTGCATGTGTTCCTACAAGTGTCTCTGTGGAACGGTTCTGAGAGCCGTTTTCAGTGTCTGTGTAAATATTTGAAGAGAGCCACAATAGCTGGCCGTGATTTACTGTTGACGGCGTTCTCGACAAAATGAAGGGAGCTGAAGGCTCAGCAATCATTTTTATATTCTGATTTTAAAATCGGAGCTAAAGTCTACGTTTACCCTCTCACTGCTTACCTGATATTCTTTGTTATTTAATTAATGGGACCAATTAAATCAAAAAAGAGGGGGAACATAGCTCAGCCTACACTGGGGTGGGAACAGAGACTGCTAGCGTCCAGCCTGCACCACTGAGTGACCTTGTCTGAGCTGGTTCCCCTTGTTTGGCCCCATTCCCCCATCTAAAAATGAGTTGGACTAAGTGATCTCCAAGATCTTTTCTGACTCTCAAATTCTTTGATTTATGAAAATATAATTTCTTGGAGGTTGAGGACATACCTTCAAACTAAACGACCTGCTTCTGTTGCCTCAGAAATGCAACAAAGTATATAACTTATTAGATGTTCTGTAAACACAGGGAGACTTTTTGAATTTCAGATCTTAAAGCAGTTCAGCCACTTTGAATTTCAGCCTTAGCACTAATCACAAATGGCATAGCATCCATTTTGATAGCATTTGCTGCTCAAGTGTAAAATAATTTTTAATGTCTTAATCATCGGTGCTGCTCTCTTGCATGATCTTCAGAAGACATCGCTGTGAATACACACTGTCAGGATTCGGGGGTTGGGTTTTACTCTAGACTTCACTCCTTTGAAATGGAACCTGCGGATTGAGACGCACCTGAGGCTCCCGTGAAAACATGGGAGATTTTACAGAGGTTGTGCCAAAGCATTTTGTAGCACAGGGAAGGCAGGCCTGGCCCCAGTCTTTCTGTAGAACCAACCAGAAAACCATTTTTTTCTTTTTTTTTTTGGTGGTGCTGGGGATTGAACCCAGGGCCTTGTGCATGCAAGGCAAGCACTCTACCAACTGAGCTATATCCCCAGCCAGAAAACCATGTGTTGTCTTTTAGGGTGACACTTGAACCAAAATATTTATTTTCCCCATTTCAATTCATGAGTCAAGCATGTTTTAATAGATAGGCCTGAGATATTTTTTCATTAGTGTAATCAGGTGATTATTATGCCACTTTTAAATATGCAGTTGTAATTTGGCTCCCATTTTTAAGCCCCTCAACATATATTGACATCCTTTGAGAGATTTTAATGCTACCATCTGATCTCTTTTGGTGACCACAGTCAATTCAGGAGGAGGGTCTCGGCTGCACACCATGCCCAGTGGGTGGATCACCTATAACCTGTCCCTGGGGTATTTGTTTACAGGTGTATTCCATTTTAGCAGGTGTTTTGATCCTCAGTGTATGTGCTGTGCCCAAATAAATGTGTTCTGAATCTTTTCATCTTACTGATAACATTTTTACAAATGTGTTTCCAAAGAATAAAGATTTTTCTTCCTTTTTCTTTTTTTTTTTTTTTTCCTTTTTTTGAGTCCATCTTCATTTTATCGATTCTTGCTTCTGCCCCAAATTCTCAATGGTGGATGATCTCAGTGATGGGACAGTTGGCTTTTGGCATTCTGAAGGTGAGCATTCAGTTAGGTGGCACGGAGCAAGATCATCCTAGGACAAGACTGCTCTTGGCAAGAGTGGCTCGTCTCTTCTTGCAGACACAGTGGCCGAGGCATTTCAGGGCAACTCTGGTGAAGGTCATAGAACCTGGTCACTGGTGCTGAGCAGAATGAAGTGGTGGCAGTGGGGTCTTCCTACTGACAATCCTATGGTGAGGGTGGGGGTTTGTCTTGGCAACTTTGTTCTTCCTGACTGGAAGACATACAGACCTGGGTCTGTGGCCTCCTGGAGACTGTGTATGCTGTCTGATACCCTCTAATAAATATCTTTCTGCTTAAAGTAACTTGAATGGACTCAGTTGTCTGCAACCAAGAAGTCTAATCAGTATGCATACCTATGACTTCCTAATTGTTCAATGAAGTACACACTTTTTATAGCTTAGGTGACCTTTCTCTATTGCATTTGGCCTCTTTGTTCTTCTTAGCAGCCTCTCCTTCTGTTATCCTATCAAATATTGGTATTTTCCCAGGGTCTTTCCTCTGCCTACTGCTTTTCTCACCGTGGTCTACTGGAATCTTCTTGTTCTGTGTTAAATTTAGAGTGCTGTTGACTCTGAAACTATCCTAGCTCAGATGACGCCTGTGTGTGCCTAAGACTGATTTCAACTTGGAAATCCCATGAATACTTTGAACTCCACATGTCAAAAATCAAACATGTCATCTTTCACCATCTTCCCAAACCTCACAACTTTTCTTTTATCTGAGTTCTCTCATCGTTAGAATCTGTACATCATCTACAACTCTTCTCCCTTTTGCCACCCATGTCCAGGAGGCCCACAGGTCTGCTCAGCTGTGCCTCCTGATTATTTTGCTTGAGCCCTTCCTCTCTCTTCTTTCCCAGCACTGATCTTGCAGAAGCATCATTCCCCTTGCTGACAGGTGCCATTGCTGATCTTCCTGTCGAGCTCATTCTCCTGATAACAGTCTCTAGAGGGATCTTTCTGAAACACCACCTGATTGTGCCATTCTGAGGCTGGACATCTGCCCGAGTTCTTCATCATCCATACGATGAAGACCAAAGCTCTCTAAGTTCCTCCACTCTCTGTGTCTGTCCTGTTGCTCTAGCGGGCCTCCCTCCTCTCATCTTTCTTAAAATCCTACAATACCAAGCTGCTTCCGGTTCCTGGCTTACACCACCCCCTGCTGTTACATCTTTGCCTTTGCAGATGTTGTTCCTTCTACCTAGAGATCTGTCACTCCCCTCTTTTCCCCCAACTGCTGCTCATCTTTTAAATCTCTGCTCAGGTGTCATCTACTCCAGAGACTCTCTTGACAGCCCCCACCTCTGAAAATGAGGTTAATTTCTGTGTTCTATGTTCCACTCCACCTCCCCCTGCCACCCCCAGCTACAGCAACTGCGTACTCGCAGCTTTGCGTTAGAGCAGCCTGTTGTTCATCTGCCACCCATGTCCACGCCTGAAGTACAAGCTTTGAATCTTAGCTGCTTTTGTTCCCAGTGCCTGACAGATAGTAGGTGTTCAATGAATGTCTGCTCAGCGAATGGATTCTTGTACATTCATTCTGAAGGAAATGTCTAACCAGATAACAGGCAGTGATACGTCACCTCTGAGCCAGTCGGAAACTCTCTGAACAACCTCGTCCATCCTGGTGGCATCACATGTTGAGTAGGACGTGGACCACCATGTTATTTCTGGATTCCAGTTCATCGTCTGAATATTAGTCAATGTGTCAACTGTGTTCTCATTCAAAGCCTTGGTACAGTGTTGAGCGTGGTAGAGGGCAGACCAGCCACCTGACATTGGAAACCCATCAGGTTGACACCAATCCACAGTGATACACGGCGTTTAAAGCCAGAGACAGTGCTTTGTACTCTGTGTCACTTCACTTGATTTTTCTGACCACTTTGTGAGGTGGGTGGTGTCCTGTTGTCCCTAGTAGGAAAACTCAGACCTGTGGTTTAGCTCAGCAACATGTATATGATATGTCACGCATCCGGTAAGTGGGGAGTCAGAATTCCAACTCCGAAGCCTGTTCTTATCTAAGCTTTAAGTCCTCATCACCAGTCATTCCATGGTTGTGACCCTGTGGATTGACACCTCAGCAAGTTCACTGGATTATAACGAGGAGTTCACTACGCTGAAGTCTGGTCACTAACTAGAGAGCCACCCCTCTACACCAGCAACCTGGTAACCCTGTCCACTTCCACCACATCACCATCATCAGTGGTCTAGCAACTGTCCACACCTTCCCGCACCATGCACGCCCCAGTGGCTAGGGACCTTGTCCATCAGCAGTGATGGCCTAATCTGTCTACCCCCCCACGCGCCCCCTACTGGTCTAGCAGCCCTCCCCACCTCACCACCCTCTAGTCTGATAACCATCTGTGCAGGCATTCCTTCACTAACAGTCCTGTTTTCAAAGGAGCAGAGATTGGGTATTATTTGTTCTTGGTGAACCCCTCCTTATTTGAGATGATCCACTTGTTCCTGAGAATCCGTGATATAATAATTTCTTCTGGAGCCTTAACTTGCCAGCAAAATCAAGCTCAGTATCCTACAACTGATTAAATTAACACTTTACTTTTATGCAATTTGCATTTATAACTGGTCCATCATCCGTTCTCATTTCTGTGATCCCTTGGAACATGCGGCAGTGGGTTGACAGTGCTGTTGGATTTGTGTAATTCACAAGGGTCTGAAGTCTTGAGAGCATGCCACGATAATTACCTTGACCTTCAAAGCCCTCTTACTTGTTTCATTGCTTGGTCTTTCGTTTCCACTAAAAATGGTCCTCCTCAACACTGCAGATGGAAGGAGCATAGTAGGACAGTTCCTTTTGTCTTTCTGGCACTGTCCTTCCAGGGCAGTGACTCCAGCCTTCTGGGTCTGGCTCTGAATACAGCTGATGACAGAGCCTTTTTGTTGCCCTTGACTTTGCAGCTCTTAACCAGCCCTTTAAAATCTGAGCTCATCAAAAAACTCCCTGGGCAGCCATATTGATCCCTTTGGGTCAATATTTCTCAAACTAAGCTCAAAGCCAATTCCCTGACTGACCAGGTCTTCCAAATGTTCCAAGTAAATACCTTAAATTGGCCTAGAATAATTTGCTTTCCACCATCTCACAACAGGAGGCCACGGGCAAATGTGAAGGCAAGGCAGAAGAGGGCAGAGAGACCGAAAAAGCAAACTATTGTTAGAAGTCCCTTCACGCAGGAAAAATGGCACATTTTAAGAAGCCCCAGGGGTACCTAAAAGGCAAACAGGAAGTTGACATGCAGCAGGGTCTCTGCTAAAGAAATCAATACTGCAGATTGGCCCACTTCTCCCCCAAACTAGGGAGACCAACAATGACATGGACAGTATATTTAAAATGTCCAGTGCTGGGCCAAGAGTTTGGGGGCAAGATCTGAGAACCTGCATTCTAACGGTCACCCCAAGGGAACCCAGGTGGGCAGAGACAGAATCTTACTCTGGAAAAATGCAGTTTCTTACCTAGTTATGTTGGTCCTCAGTTTAATGGTTCAGTTCTAATTTCCATTAAAGGCAAATTTTTGATTTTTTTTTTCTTTTTTAGTAGGCACAATGTTAAAATGTAAGTGGATGGGTACTTCATAAGTAGCTAAATCTTCTCAACATAAGTTCGCTCATGTTCAACATCAACCTTCCCCCCAAGTTCATCAAAGCATACCTGTGTCATCGTCCGTCTCACTCCAGAGGCAGGACACTAGTGAATTCCAGCCACTGGATAAGGATGGAGCATACCCACCCGCCTGCCTAAGAATCTGTGCCAAGAGTGGCCTCCTGGTGGGGATACAGGAATTTGCAGAATCAAGATGGTGGGATGTTGCAAACCAGATGACAGAAGAACTAGAGTCCACAGTGGGGCGTTCTGGTTTTGTTGGGGGCAAGAGCCCCACAGTGCTCTGCCTAGATAAAATGTAGGCACTTTGAATGTCACACGGTTTGAATCCCAGCTGTGCCACTTACCATCCATGTGACCTTTGGCCAGTTTTTCCTATTTGTCTCATTTTTCTCACCCCCAAAGAGAACATAACAATGCCTTGCTCTTGAGATAATTAAATGATGTGATGTCTGTAAGGTGCTTGGCATGTTGGGTTTGATGCTAGCTGGTAGCAATTTTTAGTGGGTTTTGAGATGTAAAACTTGAGCAGCCCCTGTGGACAGAAACAGGCCAAGGAGAGTCAAAGTCTAGCTCAAGAAACGGTCTATCTCATGGGCTGCTGGGCGGAGATGTGTAGTCTAAGTTTAGCAATGATGGTGTGTGGTTCCGAAGGAAAGGTCACGTGGAAGATGGTTAGCACAGTGCAGAGAGACACATCTCTTTGAAACTGACAAGCTAAGAGCATAAACACCGTGGGGATCTTTTGAGACGGAATAAAAAGGGAAATAGAAATGATATTTCTGTCTGAGAATCCTAGGAAATAAGTGTCTGGGCACAATGTGGACAATGCTTTCCTATCTGTAAATGGCAGAACTGACATAGGGTGAGAAATTGGTGAGACTGCTGAGAATCCGTTCTGCTTTAACAACTGGGACTCAAAAGTTTGGAGAATTGAAATAGAGTGTCTGCTCGGCTCCCAATTTATCTAATTTAGGATTTCATCTCAGACAAAGCAGAGGAAACTTTGACCTCTTAGGAGACTGAATAGAAAGCAATAAAGAGAACCATTGTGCTTTTTTGCTTTTTTAAAAATAGGTAATACAGTGGTAAAAATTCAAGCAAAAATACTTAAGTTACTTCTCCTTTCCATTTTATTCCTCAGTTCCCCAGTTCTCCCCAGAGGCAAACACTGGTAGCATATCTTCTTGTCAGTCTCATGCTAGCCTGAAAATAAACAAGCACATATATTTATTTAACCAGTTGAGAATGATGGGCATGTACCCTATGTCAACTCCCCAAAATGACAGTCATCTACCCTTCTCATGCATTCTGTTTTTGCAATTGAATCTATAGAATGAATTTCCTAGAAATAGAAACTCTGGGCCAAAAGGTATATGCATATCTGATTTGGACATTGCCTAATGAAATCTCCTCCCAAAGATACCACCTGTCCATACCTGATATACACCCACTATCCTGACAGTACCTCTGTGACCACACAGGGGGCGAGCTGATAGCCTTTTCTAACTTTAAAATTTTTTGATAGTCTGATGGGTAAAAGCCAGAATTTCCATTTTTATTACATTTCTCAATGAGCAAGACATCACACCTTTTCATCGTTGTGAATGCTGTTTGTTGTTTTCTGTTGAACTGTCTGGAACCCATTTTTGCAAGATCAGGCTTCTGTCCAGAGGTGGCTCACACCAGTAATCCCAGCCACTTGAGAGGCTGAGGCAGGAAGATCGTGAGTTCAAGGCCAGCCTGGACTACTTAGTGAGGCCCTAAGCAACTTAGTGAGATCCTGGGGATGTGGCTCAGTAGTTAAGCGCCCCTGGGTTCAATCCCTGGTATGGAAGTTGGGGGCAGGAGGATGTGGGAGAGGAGATCAGGCCATTGAAGGCTGAAGTCAATTAACTGTGTTATTTCAGCACTGACAATAGTAAAGAAAGGGGAGGCCAGGAAGAGTTGATCTGTACCACACAGTTTGAAAAGCAGATCTGCAGAAGTTCAGATAACCATCAGTGTGGTTGCACCCTGGAGAGCTTACAAGAGATACAAGCAACATAGAAACAGCAGAGGCAAAGGAATTGATTTCTAATATCTGTGTTTCCTTTCCTGTTTGGGAGTTTGTTAAGAACATTCAACCTGAGCTACTTAAATACCCACTCAGACATTGTGAATTTCCCCACACACACACATTTGACCAAAAAGGGACAGGTTTACTTTTAGCTACAATTAAATTTCTAATATATTCCATCTAAAACCACAGCTGCAACCCAAGACTCGCCCATGATATTAGTGAAAGAAAACCTATAGAATTTAAATTCCAAGACTCTTATCATCTAGGCAATCCACGAAAAAGGGTTAGATAATTAGAGGAACATCCCCGCAGGCTTATATTATAAGAAACCCGAAGAAACCTACCTAATCATCCCCTGCTGAATGGTGGAGGTTTAAACATCCACTGTCTGCAGCTGAGACCTCAGAAGCAGAAGGTGTTGCTCTGCTAACCACCCACCCAGCCTCAGCCTCCTTCCCTGGCTGAATAATGGACATTGTGCCCATGTTAAAGGCCACTAAGCCAACAAGTCCTTCAAATTGGGCCCAGTGTCTCGCCTCAGAGGCAAACTAAGGATGTTTATGATAGATGCTTCTGGAAAGCCTACAAGAAATGAAGAACAGAGAGAGAATCATCTGAGATTTTTAAGCACTAATGAACACCAAAATAGATTAATCCTCATCTGTGTCACCTCAGAAACGTGTGTACCCAGTTTTTAGCTCCGGCTCCGCCTCCCACTGGTCTCTTGTGTAATTAGAATGTCTAAAACCTACCGTTACCAGATTATGCCTTTTATTCATCTAACCTGCACTTATTCTAGAATAAATAATGTTGTAATATCATTCATTGCGAGACTTGGGTGGTGTGTAGGGAGTGGAAAGTCCCCCTCCCATCTCATGTCTGAGTCTCCCATAGCCCAGGGCACAGTGGGGTGAGAAATGGCTGCTCAGAGTGGCTTTATGCTGTAAACAGGTGGTTTTCATGACAGTGAGTATTTTGTCTTACTATTCCTTGAGGGCTCCCATATAATGCCATTTGGGGATGCACTCCAAGAAGCAGTTAAGGGCAAGTCTGTTCTTGTTGTTTTCCTCCCAAAGAAAAGAGAAATGAATTTTCATTTAAAGCAGGGGCAGGGGAACAGGGCAGTGAGCCACAGAATTGAGAAGCAAACCAAAAAATTCCATGAGAAACCAAGAAGGGACTAGCACCATTAGACTTATTAGTGAATACTGTAAAGGAAAACAACTCTATTTGTGTCCATTTTTTCCTTTTGTAAGGCAAGAAAAAGATTGAATAAAATTCTTAGTCATGAGCCCCTAAAGCAAAAATGAACTTAGGAAATAGGAATTCTCTGGACTCAGATCCTGCAATTGAGCTGAAATTGCTAACATCTAAGGTCTCACCATGAAATCCTACAGAGCCCTCTCCTAGCTTCTTGGCACCCAGGGGCACACACGTGTGCACATACTCATGAAGACAGGGACATGAGAAAGCCATTGTAAAACTCATCAAGGATAAAACATCAAAGCAAAATGGATTTCTAGCAGAAAATGTTCAAGACCTGCTGACCTGCTCGTAGCCGTTCACTGGAATCATTTGATAGCAGTTATGCACAAGGAAAATTCCAGACCCAAAGGTGAAGACACATGCCCTACTCTGGCTCACACAGGACAGGGATCCAAGTACCATGGAATCATAAAAGCTCTCTTCCCTAAGATGTGGAACGTTGTACTCTACAGTTTGCAGAGACTAATTAATGTAGTTAGGAACAACTAGGGAATTCATGATCAAAGTGAAATTTTTATGAATAGCTACTTGGTAATTATGTAAGGAAAATTAAAATTTAATGCACTAAAACTAACTCATTGAACAGATATTTGCTATGCTTCCACACTGTGCCAAGTACTGGTATGTTAAAAAAAATGCCACTTTTGGCTTCAGGTTTCAAGGAACTATTAAATAAATCAAAATGATTCCCTATCTAGGGTGGAGTCACATGTCACCTATACTGACAATAGCATTAACTCTGAAAGTTGGGCACTTGGAAAATTTATTGAAAAAAATTACAATTTGGAGCTGGGTCAAGTGGTGCATACCTGTAACCACAGCAACTTGGGAAGCTGAAACAGGAGGATCACAAGTTTAAGACCAGCCTCAGCAACTTAGCAAGGCCCTAAACAACTTAGTGAGACCCTGTTTCAAAAACAAAAGGCTGGGGATGTGGCTCAGTAGTAAAGTGTCCTTGGGTTAAAATCTCAGTACAAAAAAAGAAAAAAAAAATTGAGAAAGTTTCCTTCTGCCAACTGGCAGTCTGAATAAAGGGGTCTAAAATATTATTTATTTATTTATTTTCTTTTTTTCTTAGTGCTGAGAATCAAACCCAGGTCCTTATGAATGCTAAGTACAAATATAGTTTTGTAATGCAATTTTGACCTTTTTTAGACAAGATAAAATAAGGTAGTCATCTTTCCTTCTAGGCTTTTTTAAAACAAAACTACTTAGTTACTGTAAGAAATCCTCCCTAATTAACTGGCCTAACATTTGTAACATGTCACATTTCTAAAATGTTGATTCAATTTTCTTCTCAAACGCATTATGGAAAAAGTACGGCTTTTCAAATATACATTCTACTTACTGCCTAAGAGTAGGCTTGCATTGAATTCAGTGAGAACTCACAACAATGGGTTGGTCTGTTTAGTTTCTACTAAATTAAAATTGAAGTAAGTGACAGGTATCTTGGAAACCTGGACGAATAGATGCACCATCAGTCTTCTTTCAGTCACACATGGCAGAGACCAAATGATTTCATTATCTCATGCTGTCTTGCCTAGCATATAAATGTCCCAAAGTGCAGGGTCTGGAACTCAGATAAATGAAGTGAGTTATCCAAGGTCACAGCCAAACAGCCCTAAGGCCAAAGCTAAGTGCCAGCTATCAGTCCCGTGTCATCATTAGACTTCTTCCATCCCCCATGGCAAAGCCGTATCACTTGGCACCTAAGAGAGCTCAGGGCTCTAGGGTCCAGTTTCCTAGGTTCGAATCCCAGCTCTGCCATTTACTAGCTTTGTAACGTTGGGAAAGTTTTTTAGTCTTTCTGTGCCTGTTTCCTTATCTATAAAATAAGGATGATTGTCCTTTCTTCAGATGGTGGTTGGAGATTAATGGCACAGTGCTGAGCACTTGAAAATGTTAGCTTTTCGTTTTTTTCCCTCTGTGAGTATTTAAAGAGGATGATTAATGCGCTGGTGTTTGGTCAGGAGGTATTATTCTGGCTGACACCATCTGTTATAATGGTGCTTCAGTAGATTCTGCTAAGAGATGCTCAGTTGGAGAGCAACAGCCCAGGTGAAGGAGCTGAATAGGGACCAGTGGTACTTCCCAAATTTTTCTGGTCCTTGGCACAAATAGAAGGTGATCTATTTGGATAGTACTTTGGGGGGAGCAGGCAAGAAGACTGAGGCCCCAGCTCCCCAGATCTTTGCCACTGACTCCAAGGATGGGGAGAATGCATGGTTTGGCATGCTTATGGCCCTTCTAGGGCCCGTCCTGTGGGAAGCTCTGTGGAGATCTCTATCAGCCACTCCCTCATACTTTAGTTCTAATGAAGCATGTGAAATGGCCCCCGTTTGGCTTCACGCTAACAAGGGAACCAGTTTGTCCCAGTCAGGCTTCTTTGGAATCTGCTTGGAGTGTGCCATCTGGGTGCTGCTGTGTGGACTGTGCATAGATGCTGATTCTACCTCCAGGACCCTGCCGTGGAGTGGAAACACAGGAAGGACTTGGTGACAGAGAAAAGAATATACAAGGAATAATTAATGGGAAGAAAGAACTTCGAGTACAGGCAGCACGTGATCCATGCACAGTGGGGCCATCAGGACCTGAGGCGGGGCACCTTGGAAGGAGGATGTTCATGGTGCTCACCTGAGAGAGACGTCAGGCTGCACAATCCCTGTGGGAGACGTCTCAGCTACCGGACGTCAGCATCTCAGCTACCGGACATCAGCGTTCTGTTAGAGGCAGGGCATCTGCGGGTTTCTTGGTCTGCTTCGCTGACAGGTTGGTTGTTGGGAGGTGGAAGAAGCACAGCAGGGATTGCTGTTCATTCTGGTCAGCAAGGAAGACGAGGTGAGAAGAGCCTGCGTGGCAAGATCCCTGGAAGGAGATGACCCTGATGTCTTGGAATCATTCATATGACATGAGTAGAAGTCAGGGTTTAATCCTGCCTGTTTTCTAACCTTGAGAAAAACCAGATTTCAAAGTGTCAAGAAAAAGACCTAAAAAGGTAGGATTTTTCACATGGGCTGAGAACAGAGCACCGATGATCTCAAACAGAAAGGCTTTGAGGGCCTTTTAGACAAACCCACAATTTGAAACAGTATTTGAAAGAGTGGGAAGGTGGAACATATAAAAAACAAGGGCACAAGCCAGGCACAGTGACACATGCCTGTCATCCCAGCCACTGGGGAAGCTGAGGTAGGAAGACCACAAATTTGAGGCCAGCCTCAGAAATTTAGCAAGACCCTGTCTCAAAATTAAAACACACACACACATATTAAAAGGGCTGGGGGTATAGCTCAGTGATAGAGCACCCCTGGGTTCAATCCCCAGTACCACAAAAAGGTAGGAGCAGAATGCATAGGAATTAAGGGAAAAAAAACTTTAAAGTTGAATAGATGCACACTTTGGAGCAAAAAGGTGAAAATGTAATACAGAGCCATTTTTTGGAGGATGGCATAGAAAAATTAACAAGACATGGATAGAATTACTCAACTTCTGGTTTTTTTTTTTTTTTTTTTCTTCTTTTCAACAAGGACTGTACTAACTGCAGAAGGCAAAGGGAATGAAAAGAAGGGAACTGAGGTCTCAGATAAGGGAGTCAGGAGATATTTTACTGCTTTATAGTTAGTTCAAGTCTGTAAGCTCAGAAAAGTGCCTGCTCAAATCTGAGAAATAGCGCACTTGCTGCTGAGTCAGCATTCTGTGTCCTTTGAAAAGACACGTGGTCCCAGGGAAATGCCAGCAGAGCAGACAGGCCGTGCGATGGTGAACTCTGAAAACTTTACCGGTAAGCTTAATGGTGATTGTGAGGGAAGGTAGAGTCTTTTTTAAGCACCTAGAAAAGGAAGTAGTGCCTAGCAAGATAGTGCAGAAAAGGACCATCTACCCTGAGTAATGGAGTTTGTCAGGATCCACATTCCACTTCAAAGAGTCTGCAAACTCCTAATGAAGACAGGACAAGTGATATTCCATATTATTCTGGAGGCTTTACCAATGCAATAAGCTAAGAAAACAAGGAATAATTAATGGGAAGAAAGAATAAAAATTATGTGTGACTCTCTTCCTGAAATCCAAATGAAATCCTTCTAATAAGAGAATCCAACAAAGTAGCCAGAAACACGAATATCCTAAAGTCAGTAGCTTTGTAAATCTAATCACAAAATTAAGGGAAATATATCAGTTAATGACATTTCATTTTCAATTGTCAAAACTGAAAAACACCAGGCAAAGAAGTTAATTAGATTTGTACCATACCTTAATGAAAAGGTTAAACATTCTGACTGAAGGACTTTTTTTTTTTTTTAACCAGGGATTGAACCCAGGGGTGCTTAACCACTGAGCCACATCCCTAGCCCTTTTCTATTTTTTACTTTGAGACAGGGTCTCACACTAAGTTGCTCAGGGCCTCACTAAGTTGCTGAGGCTGGCTTTGAACTGGCCATCCTCCTGCCTCAGCCTCCCAAGCTACTGGGATTATAGGTGTGCACCACTGAGCCCAGCTAACTGAAGGACTTTGAAAAAGATATGAGATGGAGAAAAAAATATCATGTTCCTTATAAGCACGTTCTTTCAAATTAATCCATAGTATTTCATTCTTCAAGTCAGAACTCCAGTAGGATTTTTTTTTGGTAGTAAATTATATTCTAAAGTAATCAGAAGGACTGAATATATAATGGTAACCAAGAGGAGAAAAAGCAGAAGGAAAAAGGGTTTGTGCTGTTGCATATAAAATGTGCATTAAAGGTAATTAAGATAAACTGATACTGGTTTAGCAGCCGATAAATAGATCATTGAGAGAGTGAAGAATTCCAGAAATAGAAACTGATTTATACTGCATATCTGTCATGGGCAATCAGGAAACTGAAACTGTACTAGGCATTTCTTACAGAGGGAATTGAACACAGGGAATTGGTTATATAAGGGTTGAACGAAATAAGAAGTTGGATTGGGCAGTAAAGCAACCCAGAAATGAGCAACAACCAGAGCTTGCTTATCCTTCCTAGGCTAGAGGGACAAAGGGAGGTGCCAGTGTTCCGGCACCCAGAGGTCAGAGCCACAAGAATCCTGTCTAGTGGGCTTGGAGCCACTAGAGGACCTATAGCCGATGCTACAGACATCACAGAGGATGACCCTGACTTAGGTCCTTTTCCACACTCCATACCCTGCGGTGCTCCCTTAGCCAGTCCTGCAGAAGCCAGAGGGAGGGAGCCGGGGAAGTGCCGGTCCTGGGAAGCAGAGTAAGTCAGGGGGAGAACAGGGAAAGGAGCCTTTAGAAAAGTGACCAGCACAGTGAAGATGGCAGGTCAAGTTCATGGGGCAAGGATGAGCTAATCCTTTGGGGATGTTGAAACAATTGGTTCTTCATATCAGGAGGAGAGTCAGAACTTCATAAGTCACACGTGAATTCTCAAGGACCTCAATCCCAGTGTTAAAAGTGAAGTGACAACAGTAGGAAGCTCATTCTGCCCATGTTAAGCCCTGGAAAGTCCCCTCACCAATGAATGCACAGTCAGTTCCAAGCTTCAGCACTTGGGATAATCTCTGCCTGGGACAACCAGCCCACTCTTATCCTTCAGGACATCATCTGCTTCACACATCACGACCCTGGAAGTCTTCCTCTTTGGCTCCTCTCCTGTTTACTCTTATCAGAGCAGCTGTGAGCTCCTTAAGGACCAAGACAAAGTCTCATGATACAACGCCAGGCACTTCAATGTTTATCCAGTGCACTGAGATTTAATTCTGTTTGCAGCCTGACCACTATTAGTTGAGCACCTGCTATGTGCTCTGCATTTTTCTACTAGTGGAGGACGCAGAAGCGTGTGATGTGACAGTATCTCTTCCTACAGAGCTCACTGTATGGATGGGAAGACAAGGTGCATGCGCCAGGATGTCTCAGCCGGTGGGTTCTGAGAAGGACTTGGATTTTCCTGATGAGTGCATTTGCTGCCTGAAATAGAAGCTGGGACAGATGGGAAGGTGCAGCAGATGGGCAGCACTTGGGGCAGTGAGCAGAGAGGTGGGAGTCCTGGACCGTGTCCCAGGCTCAGCCAGTTACCCGCTGTATGACCTGCTCACCTCACTCCCCATGGTGGGCCCATATGCAAAATGAGGAGGGTGGACAGGACAGCAGTTCTCCGCCCTGGCCACAGGTTGGACTCACAGATGGGTGGCTGTGTAATTGGTCTGGGTAAGGCCTGAGCATTGATTTTTTTTTTTTTCCCCCTTTTCAAAATCTTCCCTGGTGATTTTCTAATTCCGCTGTATTGAGGAATAATATTACATGCATACAGTTTACCAATTTAAATTGTACAGTTCCCTGGTTTTTCATATTTTTACAAAGTTGTGCAACCACAGCTGAAATCTAATTCTGGAACATATTCATTACTTCTAAAAGAAACTCAGGCCCATTAGCAGTGACTCACTCATTTCCTCCACCCTCCCCAGACCTCCATAACCACTCATCTATCTACCGCCCCAGACTTGCCTCTTCTAAATGTTTCATGTAAATGGAATCATGTGGCCTTTTGTGTCGGGCCTCTTTCACGTAGCTTAATGTTTTCAAGGTTCATTCATGTGTAGCATGGATGGCTATTTCATGCCTTTTTATCAACTAGATAATTTTCCATCATATGGAGGTGGCACATTTTGCTTATCCATTCTTCAGTCGATGAACACATAGGTATGTGGGTTGTTTCTCCCTTTGGGCAATTATGAATAATGCCGTGAATATTTGGGTCCAAGTTTTTGGTTTTGTTCTTTTTTTTTTTTCCTTTAGTACTGGGAGTTGAAGCCAGAGGTGCTCTACCACTGATCTACATTCCCAGTCCTTATTTTTTATTTTAACACAGAGTCTCACTAAGTTTCCCAGGCTGTCCTGAAATTGTGATCCTCTTGCCTCAGCTTCCCAAGTTGCTGGGATTACAGACATGTGCCCCAGTTTCAGCTCATGTACAAGTTTTTGCATGGACATATTTCTCTTGGGCATATATCTAGGAATGGGATTGATGGGTCATCTGATATCTCTTTGAGGAACTGCCAGATTATTTTCCAAACTGGCTACACCATTTTGGATTCCCTCCAGTAAGTGAATAGGGGTTTTCCTACTAGTGATTTTAACATTCATCCAGAGTTTAAAACCACCAAACTGGTGGATATCCAAGGGGGTCCATTTCTGAAATTCTGGGATTTTTTATTCAGGGTTAGATTCCCCAGGGCTGCTCTCCAGAGCCCATGTCACCCAGAGGCTTGGCTGACTATAAAGTATATGATTGACTTCTCAGAGCACCTGGAACACTTATCTTGTTTTCAAGAGAAAGCCTTGTTTTTGTATCCCAGCTTGAGACCCTCCCCCTATCTTGGTTTCCCTAATTCCGGGAGGCAATGCATTTTGATAGAGCACCATGTTTGGGGCAGGCTGGGATCCCAGAGACCAGGATGGGAGAGGCTCTAGTTGGAAGCATGTATGGGATTAAGTAGGTCAGCAAGAACCTCTCAACCAGCCGGTTCTGTAGAGCTGTGCCTTCCCCAATACAGTCAATGACGTCCCCTAGGACACTGGCCCACTGGGAACACCAGCTTCTCCAGAATTGGAGACAGAATGAGAGCTGGGTCTTCCCCTGAGAAAAGGCAAGAGAATAAATTAGATAAGGTTCAGTACTCCCTTGCAGTTCTAACAGGCCACATTATTCATCTTTGCTAAGCTCCAGTGTCAAATGAGGCAACAGCAGCGTCCCCGCAGGATGGTGTGGAAGTTGAGGTGCTTAGCACAGGACAGGCACATAGCACATAACAGCCCCCATCTTCCACCACGGTCCCTTCCCCTGTCA